GAAATGCAATTCGTCAGAATGTGACCACTTCAGCCATACAGAGACACCTTTACTTTACTGGTCCAAAACTTTATAATATTTTACCTCCTTGCTTGAGAACAAGCAAGTACTGTCAGGTTACGCATAGGATTAGGAAATGGATAGTGGATAGTGGAGTAACTATTGATGGTTTTAATTAGATTTAACTTTAATTTATTTTTATTTAATTTTGTTGAATTTTGTTAAATTTTATCAAATCTGTTAAATTAATTCTATGTTATTAGATAATTATTAACCTTACCAGTGATATTATTATATATATTTAAGTTAAGGCAATAAGTATTAACATCTGCACACACAGATTTTATAATCCATTGTGCAGTTCCAAGTCATTTGTACCTAATTATTGTACCTGAGTATTGAATAAATTATTATTATTATTATTATTTTTGTTTCATCCTGTTTGTATTTTTTATATAAATGATCCCTGATTTTTATTGATGCCACTATTGCCTAAATTTCAATCTTAATTTTGTGTAACCAGTATAATCTCTATGCTGTATTTTAGGGCTGAATTATTTTTGTTTGTTGAAAATTTAATTAATATGGGATAGTGATCTGTTATCTCAGAATAAAGTATAACTGGCATCAAAGTGTCATAATTTACAGAACTACTTTCGAAAAAAATGTGATCAATACAAGTTTTGGAATTTATATCTACTCTTGTATAGGCATTAATGGTGGATTTGAACCCGGCTGCGTATAATACATCTAGGTTTTTTTGTGATTCTTCAGAGCATTCTAACAAGTTAATGTTCATATCGCCCACTAATATTTTAGATACCTCCAGAAGTCAGCAAACTACCATACTGTGAATGCCTTAAAATATTCAGACTAAGTACATTAAGAGAAAGGTGAGGGAGAGATGATCTCATTGAAACCTTCAAAGTACTCATGGGTAGGGATGTACCGGAATTCCGGCGGTACCACTAAATCCGGCCGGAATTTTCGAAAATTTTAAAATAGGTTAAATAATAAATTTATAAGCGGAAAGCAAGAAGAATACTCACAACTTTATTAAAATTAAAGTTGTAAACCATAACAATATTTTTTTTAAACATAAACATTAAATTCAGGTATGGATTTCAAAAAACTTCCATACTTTTGACATTTTTAACTTAGCTGGATACACAGGAACACAAAACAACTGCAACTACACTGGACTGAAAATCGTTTAAAGTCGGCTACACACGGTTCGACAGGCCTGTCAGTTCGAACTGAACAGTTCACCTGAAGGCCGGTCGCCGGATGGACTGATGACCCTCCAAATGTTCAGGCGAATCTCAAAAATATTCTTTAATCATCATGGCCTCTACTGACGATGGCGCGTTTTCAGCACTTTTTGGTTTAGTAGTTGCTCTCGGTAAAAAAAAACCGAAAGAGAAACGTACAATAATATGGTATAAAGATTAGTTGAGAAAAAGGCGAGTATTCTCTCATGAGTCTCATGTGAATTTGCTGAATGAATTGAAGTCGGCTCTTAATGATTGGCACAATTATCACGTATGGATGAAGATACATATCTTCAGCATTTATCATTTGTAGCGCCCTAGATAGAAAGAAAAAATACTATAATGAGAGAAAAAATGCCACATCACGAAAGGCCGACAGGCTGACCCTGCCATATACACGTTCAGACTTGCCATTGAATTTGTCAGGACGGCCGGATGAACGAACATATTTCTGATTTTTCTCCGGCCACCCGAACAGTCTTAACTGACAGATCGACCGGAATATATACACGTTCACGCGACCGGCCTTCAGTCGGACTGTTAAGTTCGAACTGCCAGGCCTGCCGGACCGTGTGTAGCCGGCTTAAGTTTTACGTGCACAAGCGTTCGAGTCAGATGTCTGTGGTCCCTATTCTAGAGACAGGGGAGAAACGTTCTCATGAGAACGAAGGTTCTGTCTTCGTCACCCATATTCATATTTCCATAACACTAACAAAGACAGAGCAATCGTTCTCATGAGAACGCTATTCCCCGGTTTTGCCAAACTCAAACATAACCAAACTTTAGCCGCTTTCTTTTTTTCCATCGAGCTATTCTCCATTATGAGTAAGTCATCTTGATTTCCTATGTACTAGAAAGAGATAGACTGCTCATCTGTAGGTTCGCCGGTAAAAAAAGAATGCGCCCTTTCAAATTATTATTAAATTGCAGAAAACTGTCGATCAGGCCGGAATTCCGGCGGTCCGGTTCGGTTAGGAGCCGGAATTCCCGTTCCGGCCGGATCGGCCAAATACCTGATCCGGTACATCCCTACATGGGTTATTTCAGCCCAAAAATCGATCTGGAACTCTTCCAAATTTCCCATACACGAGAACTATGCTCAAAGAAACTCAACAAAGAAAGATCTGCTCTGCTTTTGAGAAAGAACTTTTTGAGCAATAGAGTTGTATACAGATATACGCCTTCAAGAACGCACTGGATAACTTAATCAATCAATAATCAACTTACCCACTACATGTTACCTTAATCCCTAATGCCTAAATATCGCCACTGAACTCACACATACAGAGAAAAAACATTATACAGGGTGTTCATTTTAAAACTTACCACCCCTATTATCTCAGAGTTGATTTTTTTTTTTTTAAATCCTGAAAAAGTTTTTATGCAAAATTCACCTCCCCCCATCAACCCACCAGCCACCAAAGCCATCTCCTAGAAAATCTTAAATGAGAAGGGGGCTCAAGTGATATATCATTTTGAAGGGTTTTTAATTCCATACATTTTGGTACTAATTTCAATCCCTAAGTTCAACTGTTTTGGAAATATTGACAGTTGAAAATTGACTTTTGTGCTACTTTGACTGGCTGTAAAACCTAAACGGTTAATTTTTGAGGAAAACTGATCTCACATTTTTATCTTAGATTTTCATTAGCTATTATTTGACACCAAGTTTGAATTTAACCGGAGATTATAGGCGATTTTCAGCCTGGAATGATTATTTATCGGTAAATACCGTGGTTATTCTTTTGGTTGACAACTTTGACAGCCAGGTGTGACGTCACAGCCCCCCACCACTCAAGAATCATAACCCAAGGAACTGACCGCTGAAATGATTTGGTTATAGCAGTGTAGGATTATGTTTATTATTCCTATTTGTTTTTTTCGTTTCAACAATGGTTTGTTGTACATACTAGCGATCTTCCAAAGCAGGTTCGGTTTTGCTCCATCAATCTCTATGCCGATGACACGCAGCTCCTGTTAGGTTTTGCTCCTCAGGATGCCTGTGTGTGTATGCAGAGAATAAATGACGACTTAGACTCGATATTTATATGGTCAAGTCAACATGGGTTGGATCTAAATGCTAGTAAGAGACATATATGATTATGGGCTCTAATGCCGTCAGAAGTCAATTTTTGCGTTTTAATTTCACTACACTGCACATAAACGGTACTACTCTACCTAACTCAGAATCAGCAAGAAATCTGGATGTGACTTTCGACGAAAGTCTTAACTTTCAGGTGCACGTCAACAAAAAATTGTCATGTGTTTATGCTGTACTTAAGAGTTTGTACCCGTTTAAGGATAATTTACCTCGCAACATTAAATTGATGTTAGTGGAGACTCTTATTTGGTCACAGTTGGACTATTGCAATGTTGTCTTCTATAACTACCTGAATGTTGAATTTAAAAACAAAATTCAGTTAGCTCAAAATGCTTGGATGAGATTTATTTTTAGCATTAGAAAATTTGACCATATTACGCCAACCTATGTAGAGAATAAGATACTAAAATATGAACAGCGAGCAGCCTTGCACTTTGGTCAATTCGTTTATAAAATTTTTCAATCTGGTTACCCATCCTATCTCTCAGAGTATCTTATAGTAAGACAAGACCTACACAGTCGCTGTCTGAGAAACATTATACAATTTCAAATACCACGGCACATAACCGAAGGTTTTAAAAACTCATTTTCTTACCGAGCGGTACAACTACTTAATACAGAGGTGTATGAATTTATGATTTCAGGTTCACTGGTAAACTTTAAAAAAAAGTACAAGGCTTCTCTGCTGGAATTAATAGTGTAGCTTAGAATAGGCATTGAATTCTGTATTTATTTATTTTTTCGGGTAGCATGGAGGAACACATTACGTGAATGTTACCTTTTATGTAATTTCTTTTGAGGCATAATAAACGTTATTATTATTATTATATGTTGTTTAGGTACAAAAAATTGAGCGGAATCTCTCGTTAGTCCCGTTTATCAAACAGATTTTCTTTGGGGATGATCTAAACCTCGATCTAAACATGGTGAGTTGCAGTGAGTGAGTGAGTGTATACTTCTTCCATTGTGCTAGGCCACAACAAAACTGCAAAATCACAAAACACCAATACCAATTCCCAAAATAATAATAATAACATCAAAAAGCTGTAACCAAAAGATTAACCCAAGTCCAAAGCTGGGTTATAATCGGTTATAAGTGGTAAATACCAAAAGCAAATCAGCTGGATATGTGACATCACAACTTCCCCTACTTTGGTTAAAACCGCGACGGCGGAAATGCATTGGTTATAACCAAATAATAATCATTCCAGGCTGAAAATCGCCTTATATTTTTGAGCGGAATTTTTGATCATGCATTAACTTTAAACTCATTGTTCGCTGCACTAGCCAAAACTCAAAGAGAAGATCCTAGGAAACATTTTTTTACACATACATAAGATATAACCTTCTTGAACTTTAAACTATTTTTAAATGTAGGACTGCTCGCTCCTTTTGTTTGCCACATTTCAAAGATAAAATCCACCAAAACAAATAATTATTTAGCCATCCTATTTTTAGAACCAAACCCCGAACCAAATATTTCACACTAAGTAATTTGCACATTTTTATATGAGAACTGGCTAACTTTAACGTTTAGCATTTAGAATGCAGCTGGAAAGAAACTAAAGAGTATTGCACTAAAGTGTTCAATATTTTTTTCCAATTTTTGAGGCAAAACTAATTTTTACCTGTCTCTAGCACAAACATCAGCCTGATACTTCAACAGTACATTAACAGTATCGTCAGAATTAACAGCACAAGCCCTATGTAAAGGTGTAACCCATTTGCCATCTTTTGCATTCACTCTGGCCCCATTGTCGAGCAAAATTTGAGCTATCTGAGAGTCTCCTTTAAAGGCTGCGGCGTGCAACGGTGTCCGCTTTTCGCAGTCTAGAAAAAAAGAAGGGGTTCTTTGGCACTGCAATTGAAAATATTTGGATAATCAGTTACCAGTGCAATTGACATATTCTGGATGGACCATAAGATCTTCCACTTCGTCCAACGCCCCGGAAAATATCGCCTGAGTAATGAGGGGCTGAAATTGGACATAAAGTTGTTAAAAAAGGGGCCCCCAGAAAGGCATAACCTCAAATATGATTATTACCTGATCCTCTAGCTGCAATATAACCATTTTTATTTTTCTAGTTGTGCGTTATGATCACGGTAGTGCGAAAATAGATTAATCTATTGCATTATTTATCAAAATAAGAATCTTTTCAAATAACTTTTCTTTACTTTTGCAACGAATGTCAACTGGTTTTCACCTTCACTCCCCCAGCACACTTTTCAGTTTTCTCAACTGTTTTGAATTTTTTTTGGTGGTGACTCATTTGACAGGTAAACAAAGCAAAGGATATTTTTCATTAGTGAAACAGGGATAGCCAAAAAAACTAGGGAGTGGGAGTAGTATGGACAATTTCATTCAACTACCGATGGTAGCACGGATGGTTGGTTGTTGGTTGTGGTTGGGATGTGGTGAATGTTGTGAACTGTGAACAAACATGACGAATAAAGCGAAAGCGCTAAACACACTGGGTGGTGCGATAGTGCGATCACGGCCGTAATCTCGGCGCAGGCGCTGCCAAACGTTGCTGAAGAGAAGAATAATATAATGAACCGTTTCACATTAGGCAATTTTTGGCGAGGATATTCAAGCCATAGTCTGATTATGCTGGGTTATGTGATGTGTCTATAGTTGTATTCCTTTCAAGAGCTTAAAACACTAGAGCTACTTGCTCCGGTGTTATTCGACCCCGATTTGAAAGGAACAGATGCGCTGGATTTCATGCATTTATTAAATGGTTCGAGTCGGGCTTGAGCACTCATGTGCAACAAACACTTTTCGAGAGGAATAGGCGCGTAACGCCCCGGAGCTGTTCCGGAGCTCTTCCTAGGTGTGAAAGGAATACAACTAATTGTGTCATACCCCCTAACTCCCTTACCATCAAATTCTGGGCCTGCGAGTGACGTCACTATCAGCAGCTTATAGTGCTGATGTCACCCACAGACCTCAATGGAATGCTTGCTATTCAGGCTGTCAACTTTAAATGTAGAAAAAGTTATTTTCAGTCTGTTCTCACAATGGTTCTCACAGAAGAACTAAGTCTAATTGATCCTCGAGTACAGGGCCGTAGCGATATGACTATCCCTAGGGGGGGAGACTGAGATCCGGCCATCCGGCGCCCCCTAAGCGCCGCGAAGGTAATTCAAAAGCGAAAAAAGAAATAACTTTTTTGCAACCTTGACAGGCTATAAAACCTAAACGGTCAATTTTAGACTTGAGAAGAAAACCGATCTGACATTCGGAAATTCCTTACAGCCTGGCAAATTTGCAAAAAAGTCAAGTTTCAATTAACAATATTACCAAAACAGTTGCAATTAAATACAGGAATGGGTATAGGGTATATCACATGAGATCTGCTCAGAATTTTACCACAGCATATATGCACAAAAACAACAGAGGTTAACTCTCACGCGCATCTCTTCTGCGCACGCCGCCATTTGAGGATACAAAGCTCGAGTTAGCCTGCGATTCTTTTTGTATATGCTGTGATTTTACGTTGAATCCGAATATTCAAGAATATACAGGGTATTCCATTCAAAATAAAGAAGTTGAACCACGACCAGCTTTTCTGGAACACCCTTTATATGCGAAAGTAAGTTTTTAAAAAAAATAAGTTTCAACCATAAAACTTTTATTTGGGACATTTCTTTCTAAAATGTCAAATCAAAAAGCTGAGTCCGTGACTGGGTTCGGTAATTGCATCTGCGAGCAAGAAGAGCGAATTTTGACGGACGTCACGTGATTTCTTATTCACCACTTATCTTTTTTAACGTGTCAAATCACGTGACATTTGTCAAATTTTGCTCATTTTGCTCGCAGCAATTTCAATTACCGAACTTAGCCGGTGACTCATCGAGTTTCCGTTTTGATGAAACTTTTGACTGATGGGACGTGTTCACAATAGAAATGATACTCTTGACTAGGGTGTGTTCACAATAGCCGACAGGGCATGCTCTGGCCGCACTGCAGCGTCTGGTTGCATGCTGAATTAGCATAAAAATATTATTCTTTCTAAATCATCATAATAGTTTTAAAATAGTATTTAATTACCTACTCAAAAACTTGCCTTTTGGTTAAATTTTTTTTTGTTAGAACTTTACCTATTTTGGCGCCCCTGTGCCAGCTACGCCCTGGGGGGGAGGCTACCCCGTCTCCCCCCCTGTTCGCTACACCCCTGCTCGAGTATCCCAGAATTTGATGGTAAGGGAGTATGATAAAAATGACACATCACCTAACCAATTCCCAAAAGATTCTGCTTGATTATCCTCGCGAAAAATTGCCTATTAGGCAATTCAAACTACGTGACATTCAAGATGGCGTGGCGGCCACACATGGGCCAAAAAACACAAAAAAATATCTAGTTTCTGCCCCGAATTAATAGTTTAGGTACCTAGTCAACAAATATTTTATTAAATAATGAAAATCAAAGTTGTAAGCAAAACTGTATGCAAAATAATTTAAAATACGCATAAAAACATATTCAAAACAAACTTGTTTGGCCGCCACGTCACATTGAATTTTCCTTTTTGACAGATGGATTGAATTGCCTAATTGGCACGATCAAATTTTTGAGAACAGGCGGCCGTTCCATTGTGGCATTGGTGGCAAGATTCAACTTGTCGAGTTTGACGGCGGGATCGCGACGCAATAGATAAACTGCGTTTTTTTTTTAAAAGATAAAAGTCAAATTGACATTATGTTGGCAATACAAATTGTCAATGCTTTCAAAATTTTTATGTAGAAAAGGTTTGTGTTGCCAACATAGTTACTAAATTTTTGACTTGGGGAATTATCTTTAAAAAAAACAAACAGACTTTAAAGTTTTTTTTTTAAAAGATAGAAGTCAAAATATTTTTATGTTGGCAATACAATGTAAATTGTCAATGCTTTCAACTGTTCATTGTTCATGTAGTCATCTTTCCTCCTACTCAATGAAACGGTTTAAAACCATTGATATTTACCGCCAAAATTCAAAGCACTCCAAGTTCACTCGCGCCCTCTACAAAATTTTGGGGAAATTAACTGGATATTTGCTGCCATTGACATGAAAGTGTCCATTCTTAACTCACGATCTGCAAGGAAGATTCGAGTAACGACTATAAATTCGAACCTTAAAGTCAAATATAGACGGAATCCCTACAGAATCGTGAATAGAAACCAAAAATGAAATAATAATATAGGGATTCACCAAAATGGTGCACCGTCTCGGATGGGGTGATTATGATTCACTCATAGAATAAGCAGGTTTATAGTGGAGATAGAATGGACAGTCGCGTTATACGGGTCGAACAACCATTTGTGGTGCCATCTATTGTCTATTATGAAAAGAGCTCATCCCATTGTAGCAGCTTGTAGAGCAGTTTCCTTCTAATTTTTTTAGATTTGCTTTTTATTTATTTTATGATAAAGACACAATTTGATACAAATTTAACAAATAATGATTTATTACAAAGAAATAAGAAAGTTATGTTGGAGTTTCGCAACTTGTCAACAAAGTCAACACTAACACAGAATTGAATAACAATTAATAGTCTTCACACTAAACATAACACTGTGAAAGTCCACAAATTCACACAGATAACGCTCTATTAAAAATACGAATCACTTTTTCAACAAACAGCAACAACAACAAGAAGCACAACGTTTTCCAGTTCATCTTCATCGTTTTGTCATCATCATAGAATAAGGTTCAAGTGGGGATATAGAATGGTAACTCCCATGTTACAAAAAAAGTTTATATATGTGGCGCCCCTATATAGGCTTGGGTCAAAGTAAAATGATTTTGGCGGGATATTTGAATTTGAAACTTTGTTTATGGATTACCTTTTTGGCCTTGAAACTAAAAATTGGTTGACAACCGACCTACCAGTATGACAGCTGATAACGCCAATTAGGCAATTCAAACCACGTGACATTCAAGATGGCGTGGCGGCCACACATGGGCCAAAAACACAAAAAAATATCTAGTTTCTGCCCGAACTAATAGTTTAAGTACCTGGTCAACAAATATTTTATTAAATAATGAAAATCAAAGTTGTAAGCAAAACTCTATGTAAAATAATTTAAAATACGCATAAAAACATATCCAAAACAAACTTGCTTGGCCGCCACGCCACATTGAATTTTCCTGTTTGACAGATGGATTGAATTGCCTAATATCCAAAGGCATTCACTAAAATCGATTACCAGCGATACAGTGACTCTATTACCCACAGTGGCGACAATTGCTGGCTTATTTTTGATTGGTTCTAAAATCCCATATATTTATATTGAAAACGCGGCCATCTTGTTCCCACCTATTTCTTATTTCAAATATGAATATATGGGATTTGGGTGAACATCCATCATAAAACATGGAAAACAACGTATTTGATGGACCTAATAATAGTCATCAAATACGTCAATTTCAATTTTTTTATGATAGATGTCCATTTAAATCCTATATATTAATATTTAAAAGTAACAAGAGGTTGGGAATAAAATGGCGGCGGGACCTCTATTGTCGCTACTGTATGTAAAGGTTTATTTAGCCACTGTAACCAGCGATGAACATGCGCGCCCTCTGAGCGGCTTGGGGCACATTAAAAGTGGGCAGGATCGTTTAATACGAGTGCGCGTACCATGGTCATCATTTGTCATTTCATGAGTTCATGTTATAATTTAATTGGAAATGACGTCACCCTTCATCTCTAGAAGCGGAGATACCTTGGAGATACAATCAACAACGCGTACGCAAGTCAATTGGTAGCGCCTCTACCGGGCATGAAACAAGCTAATTATCGAACCAAATGGTACATTTAAAGATCGCGGGGTATGGACTCACTAATGCCAATTCCAAACCACAGCTCGTCAAACCAGTCAAACCATGTTCAATTTTAGGGTGGTTATTATAAAATTATTTTGACAGTTAACTTAATAGTTAACTTCTGGAATGACGTTACTTCCCATAGTAATTCCACAAGTTAACTTTTTGCTATCTGTCAACAGGACTGCTTCCAGGGATGTGCCGTAGACTATGAAATCTACTTTACGCGGTTTGTCTACTCGTTATCTACGTCTATGTATAAGGCAATCCAATCCATCTGTCAAAAAGGAAAATTCAATATGGCGTGGCGGCCAAGCAAGTTTGATTTGAATATGTTTTTATGCGTATCTTAAATTATAGTCGTAGCGGTACACAGAAAAACGTTTCAAATCCTGATAGAAGCAAACCGCTTGGCAGAAAGTTTCCTTACATATAATACTTTAATTTGACCCACAGCACCCTATCAGGAGTGGCGTCATATTCAAGATGGCGGATTTTTTCAAAATGACGCTACTCAAGTTTTTTCTAATAGGACTAATGGGATTAAAATCAAATGAAAACCAAATTAGTACTTTAACGATGTAAAATAAAAGCACATTTCAAAATAAAATCACAATTTCGGGTGATTATTCAAAATGGCGGTGTAGCTAAGTTCATGAAAGCATAGAACATAGAAATAATTGGAAGGATAGTAGGTATTCCTAGTCTTCCGAATTTTCCAAACTACAAAACAAAATAAGAATGGTTAAAAATTGGTTTTAATTTGAAATGAAAATATTTGAAAGTACTAACTTTTCAGTTATCTTGTTGGTGCACCATGTCTTTGCAGTAAGTGCATTTTCGGGAATTGAAGGCAGTGGGCATGAAATCGCTTTAAATGCTTTAGTTATTGCATTATTGCTTTGAGATTTCTATGTTTTCCAGCTAGACTTTTATCCTTTGTAAGAAAAGAAAGACACTGTATCACACCCTGTAAAAGCATATAACGCCAAGAAGAGCACTAGTCTTATCGCCAAGAATATCTAAGGTATGAATTTATTTAAGTTAAGTGTCTTTAATAACAAATAAAATAACTATACCTATAATATAATGGCATCCATTTGACATTGGCCGACAACACTGTGTTTTGTGTGGTGACCTGTCATTCAAAAGGTGACATTCTATCATTGAAAAGTTGAATCGTTCAGCAGAACCAAGAGTTTACCCAACATATTCTGTTGGTATTTGTAAACTGTTAACAATCCGTTTTGGTTCTGCTGAACGTAGCCATTGTTTTTCAAAAATAAACAGTTTTCCCCTTATAAAGGCACGTTTCCACCAACCTATCACCCGCGTTTGAATTTACCGCTGGATAAAAGTAACTTTATACTTTAATTGCTCAAGCTACAATTATCATTTTCCGGAAAATTCTTATCCTGCCTTGCTTAGACTAGTTTCTAGTTATGTTATCTCTGTAGGTACCTATGTTTTATGTCTCCTATTTTATTCTCGCATTCGCAGATCACTGTGATCAAAGTGAACCTAATTAATTAATGTCCAGTGGTTTTGACAAAAATATGAATACTACTTCTTAGAAAAAATTAATATGTTATTTTCGTATGATGATATTATGAAATTAAATTAAGTAAGGCATGTACATTGATACAAGTAGCTTAAATAGTAGCTTTCACTAATTCAAAATGTAGTTAAGTTACTAATAGCTTAGCTACTTTTTCAAAGAAGTAGTTGAGCTACTGAGTAACTTAGCTACTTACAATATAAAGTAGCTTGTAGCTTGTAGCTAGCTACTTTTTCCAAGTAGCTTGCCCAGCTCTGGTTCCATCACAGCAGGAAACCGTACAACAAAGCCTAAAATTTGTGCGTAGAATCTGAAATTCGTATATGGGGTGGTTTCCAAACCGTTCATGGGACGGTTTTTGACGTGTTGGAACAGACCTTATATGTATTTCTGAAAGTGGGCTTATTTTTTGGACTGAGTAAAAAACTCCCAAAGATCTTACTTGAATGGGTAGAAATTTTTAATTATTTCGATGAAAACAGCCCTAATTTTCTATATAAACATATGTCCGGAAACGTTTCCTTTCCGTTTACAGAGTGTTGAAATTCTTAGAAAAAAAAACGATTTTTTTATCATAATTTTCAAACCACTAGATATTTCATCGAAATTTTGTACACTGTTTTCAAGCAGTAAAAGGCATTTTTTGATGTGGAATTATTTTTTTTTTTTTCAAAATTACCAAACACGTCCGTAACGGATTTACATGGGATATTTTCCAAGAAAAAAATAGTGCGCCACTGCTTTTTCTTAAAATAAATCATTTTTAAAATCCCCATTCAATTTGGAACAAATTTGATCTCTTCACTTTTTTCCGAAAAGATGCACAGTTTTCAAGTAAATAAATAAAAAACCATTTCGATGCATTTCAAAATCGCCAAAATTACCTATACCTATGATAAAAATGTTAAACATTGTCCACCTTAAGTTTCAAATTATTTTTGTGACGTCACTGGTAATTTTTTTAAAAATATTTCACATTAAAAAATGTCTTTTGCTGCTTGAAAGACAAAATTTCACTGAGATTGTTTGGTACATTAATTTCGGAACACCCTGTATTGTCCCGTTTTTGAAATTTCAAGATCTGAGTCACTTTAATCTTGAATGTCACGTGGTTTGGATTGCCCAATTGTTTACATCGACTTTTTTCCATGTAGACTATGTAAACTATGTAGACAATGTAAACCTGCTTCTTCTACCATTCCACCACGGTACCTACACCAGCTGAACTTAGCCACACGCGACACGTGATATAACACTGCACTACACGCTACACGAACGCCGCACTAGCACTGCACTAAAATCCCATTCCGAACTCAGCTCATGAAAGATGAAAGCACAGATGACTGTTTATATACTTTGCAGTGTGTTCTGAAGCTGTCAGAGAACTCAAATGAAGCGGTTACTGAGGATCTGCCCGCTCTATGGATGTTTCTTTTTTTCTTTGCTTTTTTTACCAATGTTATCTAACTGCTGTGTGTGGTGGACAGCAGGATGATGAAGAAATCCTTAAATATATGATGTAGATTTTTCAGAAAGGCCCAACGGCTTGCCTTTCTCGAGCAGAACTCCAATTACACCGTTCAGATAGACACCTTTTGTTAATTTTCTTCTTTATTTTTAAGCCCATGGCTCGCTTTAACTGTTAAGGTCTGTTCGCAATGGTCGAAGGTTGGCACAGCAATCGCAAACCAGTCAGAGTAAATTTCATTGGTTGAAAACAGTCAGAAAACTAATTATTTCAACTCATGAATAAAATTCACTCTGACTAGATTGTGATTTCTGTGCGAACAGATATTTAATCATTAGATCGTCAGCTAATGACAGATTTTGCTGACCGATTTTCTCTCTTCGGGGATTTCAACCACTGAAAATTATGTCTGTGCTGAGCTCAAACAGGAAAATAGATTTTCCATATACCTAGCAGACATCCGGCCGCTAAATTTTCATTTTTTGAGCTCAGCACTGACATAATTTTCAGTGGTTGAAATCCCCGAAGAGAGAAAATCGGTCAGCAAAATCTGTCATTAGCTGACGACATAAGCCGCTTTCCAGCTGACCATTTTGAGCACGCAATCGAGCTTTTGCGCGCGCAAATGCTTCAAGCGCGTGTTCGTGTTCCAGCCGTACTGCGCTTCCAGGAGCTGCTAACTTTTGCGTTACAAACACAGAACACTGTGCTTGAAGGCGAAGCACACAGCTGGAAAGCGGCTATACTCACCACGAATTCCAAAATTAAAAACCGAAAATCGATGGGGGAATTCAAAATTCATAGTATGTTCGCAGTTCGAACTATAAAGTTGAAAAGTTTGCACAAGCCTAGTTCTCATGGAGCGGAAAATCGCGTGGCAAACGCGAATTTTTCAAAATTTGTCCTGCAGCATGGAAATGTCAACTTTTTGCGATATCGCAAAAAAAGTTAAACTATTTTTAACTTTTGCGCGAGTTTTTTATCCTCCGTCACTTTTTACTGTCACCCAGTGTCACTTGCAGTAGCGTAACTTGACATCACAGGGGTTGCAGGGGGCCTCGGTGCAAGGTTAGATTACAGTGACGTATTATTATAACCTTGTACTTACAACTTCCAGACATTTAAAAACATTTCTTTTTCTTCAAATTTTTACGAATTTATTAAAAAATCCATTGTAGAGAAAAGACTGATTTACCCAAAATAGCGAAAAATGACAAGACCTGTCAGTCGGGTGTCCCACTTTTTAGAGTGCGTTTTTTTTTTTTAAGATAAAAGTCAAACTGACATTAGGTTGGCAATACAATGTAAAATTGTCAATGCTTTCAAATTTTTCATGTAGAAAAGGCTTGTGTTGCCAACATAGTTACTAAATTTTTGACTTGGGGAATTATCTTTAAAAAAAAAACAGATTTTATGCTCACGACTGTACTTATAACAAATGCGGGGCCCCTCAAGTCTCTGGGGCCTCGGTGATTTGCACCGAACTGCCCTATGATAGTTACGCCAGTGATCACCTGTGAGATGTATGGTACGACATTTGATAAAGTCTGTTTTTTTTTTAAAGATAATTCCCCAAGTCAAAACAATGTAAAATTGTCAATGCTTTCAATTTTGTTATGTAGAAAAAGCTTGTGCTGCCAACATAGTTACTAAATTTTTGACTTGGGGAATTATCTTTAAAAAAAAAACAGACTTTACATACTTTTAGAAAAAGATGAGGGTACACTTAGTGCGTACTGATTGACAAATGGAAATCGCCATTAGAATACGATTCGGTTTGTGTAGCGCAACCAGAGTTCCATTTGGCGCTTATTTTTATTTCGTGAAATGTCTAAAAGAAAATACTGCAACAGAAAGACAAAAAAATAACAATAAAGTGTAATCAGGTATTAATCAATGTATTAATAGGATATTTTTACAGGTAAATTATTGAAAACAATATTTGAAACTTCAAGTTTTTTTTTAATAAACAATGTACAATAAATACACGCCTATCTTCTTTCAAATGCATAAACTAGACAGAGATACCAAAGTAAAAATCATACTCGTTTACCGAATCGATTAACTTAAATTTAAATATCCGCGCCGATAAGCCTTGAAATCGCGCACATTTGAACCACAACAAAAATCGGTTTCGTTTCACAATTTTAAACTTTAAACAAACTTGAAGTCAAGTCAAGGCCCTCGACCGCCGCCGTACTCTAATTTTTTATTGATATTTTTAATAACAAAGAACCTTGCCTTTCCAGCGGGGATATTTCAGGGTTAGCATGTATCAAAGTTTGAAAGAAGAACATTCTGCTGCTGGGTATTTGTGTTTTATAGCGCGTCTTCTAGAAATAGCACACGTTTATTTAGAAATTTGGGTCAGATGTAGTGTAAGTGTATAGTTAGGATTGGTTTTGGCGTTATCAAGTATTTGTGATAAATCCTGCAATAAATAGATTTGAAGAAATAATATACTTGGTTTGGAAATAAATATGATGGAACATGATGAAAGTGATTGTGGCGTTGATAAGGACTCAATTAACAATAAAGGTACGATATATTGACTTAAATATGAATTAAATAATTCCTTTCGCAATTGCTATGAAAAATTACAAAAAAAAACACAAGTCAAATCTGCGAATTGAAAACGCATTTTCCTACGAACAGGGCCGTAGCGATATGACTTTCCCTAGGGGGGGAGACTTCTATCCGGCGCCCCCTAAGCGCCGCTAAGACAATCCAAAAGCGAAGATAAATATATTTGGTGACCAAAATTTTGCCAATTTTAAGCACCTGTGGGTAGGTAGGTATAATTTTTTTCAACAAAAAATATATCAATCCAATGACATCTCATCACAGATAGACATCACATCTCATTCATAAATCGATGGTTGTTGTGATGACAAGACCCCCATAAGCCGGGAGAGGTCAGCTGTTCGAGGAAGGGTCATGGTAGTGCTCACTGATCTAAAAAATAAATGGATAAGCAATCATACGGCTTGATTGGCAAAATTTGTGCGAAAATTTGGGGTCAATATTCTACGAACAGTTGTGCAACGGAACAGCCGAACGCCTGCGCAGTGTCTTATCTTTCGAACAAATATTAGGTCTGTTCGCAGAGAAATCACAAACCAGTCAGAGCGAATTTCATTGGTTGAAACTAGTTTTCTGACTGTTTCTGATTGTTTTCAACCAATGAAGTTCGCTCTGACTGGTTTGTGATTGCTGTGCGAACAGCCCTAATCTAAATTTTGAAATTCCTTCATTTTCATTGGCCAGATTTTGTGCACGCACAGTGCATGTATCTACTGCGCACGCTCATAGCTGTCCCAGTCAGTTGTTTTTGTTTAGATTATGCCCTCGTAAATTAGCAGCATTAGAAGCGTTCTTGTTTATCCATTTATTTTTGAGATCAGTGGTAGTGCTGCATCAGTGGTGTAAACAAGACCCGTATTCCTCTCTGAAATCTTCATTTACTTGACCAAAATAATCAAGAAATTGAAGAAATGTGCACCGGTGCAACTCATTCATCTATCTGTCTGCCTCTAATAATATTCCAGGGTCCTTATTCTTGAAACAGGGGAGCAGCGTTCCCAGGAGAACGAATGTTCCGTTTTTCTTAATGATAATAAAGAGATATCGGTAACCCAAATAGTGTCATGCAGTATTAGCGCCTACGTTATTTTGACATTAGAGAGATTTTGAGCCGCATAAATTTTGAAATACGTTACACGCTAAACGATAAACGGAGCAAGCGTAGTCTTTGAAAAATAGCGGATGACATTTAGCCTTTTTTAGTTTTTGAAGCCAAAACTTGTGAAGGACGTTATACGCTAAACGTTAATGAAAATTTGTGGTTAGGATTTTGATTTTGTGTAACTAACATGAAATTTTATGTTGTCTGTTGTTTATGTTAGAATTGTTAGGTATTCATTTGTATTTTGTTTTGTGTAATTGGGTACTACACTTCATGGATAACATTGAAAATATAAAAGGACGTCGGAATCCGGAAAAGATGTTGAAACGTTATCGGTTAATAACGTTCCGTTTATTTCCACATAATAGAGAGATTTTGAGCCACCTATTTGATCAACGTTATACGTTATCGGTTATTTTGCTCATGCGCAATAGTGAAAAAATAACCGGTCCGCTTAATAAGCGGTAACGTACTACGCTAATTATGTGGAAATAAACGGAACGTTATTAGCCGATAACGTTTTAACATCTTTTCCGCATTTTGACGTCCTTTTATATTTTCAATGTTATCCATGAAGTGCAGTGCACAATAACACAAAACGAAATGCAAATGAATACCTAACAATTCTAACATAAACAACAGACAACATAAAATTTAATGTTAGTTACACAAAATCAAAATCCTAACTACAAATTTTCATTAACGTTTAGCGTATAACGTCCTTCACAAGTTTTTGGCTTCAAAAACTAAAAAAGGCTAAATGTCATCCGCTATTTTTCAAAGACTGCGCTTGCTCAGTTTATCGTTTAGCGTATAACGTATTTCAAAATTTATGTGGCTCAAAATCTCTCTAATAAGCGTAGTACGTTACCGCTTATTAAGCGGACTGGTTATTTTTTCACTATTGTGCAGGAGCAAAATAACCGATAACGTATAACGTTGATCAAATAGGTGGCTCAAAATCTCTCTATTAAACCTATGCGCGATTCGTTTTTTAACACTACGTATCATAATAACGTTACCGCATAACGTAATTTACCCAGCACTTACGTTAAGCGTTATTTCGAATAACGCCTAGAAATAACGCAGTGGAATAATATAGGTTATGTTATGTTTATTGTTTTTGTTTATTTTATTATTTTTATTTACGAATAACATATAATGTAAGTATTATATTTGTGATTTTGGCAGCATAATTATGTATTATTCCCGCAGGGATTAATGGTCATTATTTCCGCTTACACACCAATCACAAAATTTCTCAAACTAAATAAGTAATACCTACTATGGAAACAATATGAACAAACTCAAAAGTGTCAGTGTCAAACGCGTAGTGCTTGTGTACCTACTTGTATTAAGATGGATGAAAAGAAAATTTCAAATAAATTAATTTGTCGTAAATAAAGTAGAGTATACTACTCGCAATAATGGCTATTATTCCCTCGGAATGTTACTCCCTCGCCGCTAACGCGGTTCAGTTCGTTAATATTCCTCGAGAATAATAGCTATCATTATTGACTCGTGGACTATTGTTGTGTTCAAGTAAATATGGATTGTTCAAATAATAGTAAAAAGCAAATCCTCTATCCCTGACCATAAACAACAGACAACACAAATCAAATCACAACAAGGTACAAGTTAGGCTACGGTTATAAAATAACGGATGCGAACAGGCAAATTTTACGTTAAACTGTTTTCCGATAACTCTAATTTGAAAGTATAATACCGCTTTAAGTTTAAAAAAATAACTCCTGACGTTATTACCGTCCATACGCGCTATTTGATTCACCGATATCTCTCTAATAAGAAAATAACAATATAACTTACAAAGACACTCGTTCTCCTGGGAACGCTGCTCCCCGGTTTCAAGAATAAGGCCCCATAAGTTGAATTTTAGTTATTCTGTCAAAATAGTTTTATAATACCCGCATTACCAGCCCTGAAAACCTAACTTATGTATTGAGAGTGAGACTAGAGCGCTGTTCCAACCCGACATGAGGACCGTTCTAGAACGGTAATTTCCAGTGGCCCACCTATTTTTCAATAAGTTGAACGTTTATCCTAATCAATGAGGTAGAAATAATGAGAAGCTGTTATCATTTGAATAGTACACTAGATACGGGAATCGGTAGGCGTGGCTAAGTGTAGGAACAATATGGCTACTTGAACAGAGCCGAACTAAAGTCTGTCGATTTTAATCTGATACTCCAAAGGAATATGAGCTGGTGGCTCCCTACATTAGAACGCCTATGGCCACTTGACGTCACACTTGTTTTTGCCATAAGCTTTAACCCCTCGCTCCTCATACGAAAACTGTCAGATTAAAAACGACGGACAATAAATGGATTCTTTATAATTTTTATCTAAAAACGTGAAAAAATCGAGATTACACCAAGAAACAAAAAGTTGCTACAGAAACTTCAACATACTGAAACAGGAGATCCTCCCAAGACCCAAAATAGGAATTCTGGATCTTCGGATGGAAAATGCGGCCCTGATGCAATAGGCTCCTTGCATCAAATTTTTTTATTGCTGATTTCGATAGTCCATGAAAAATAAGTCAACACGTGTTTTTTCTTTTTCTTCTTAGTAAAAAATTGACGGAGATACAACGCTATGAAATCTGCCTATGACGTCACTTATCTAATAAATAAGTGACGTGGCACATGCTCAGTATATCTATATATACAAAACTTAATATTTGTATAACTTCCGGAATAATCATATTTGCAGTTTGCAATAGACAATAATCAATTTAATTTTCCATGCAAGTACCCTATTCTGACGCGTTTCTATGACAAAAGTGACAGAATCTCAGACAGAAGTGTAGTATAATATGGCGGAAGTGGATACGTTTTTTTCTCCTCATGTCGCCTCCTTATTATTCTACCTCAATTATTTTAATAATGGACAAATGAATTAATCGACTTGAAATTACCGTTCTAAAACGATTCTCCTGTCGGTTGGAGCAGACCTAACATCTATTCTCAATTTAATTTCCTGATTTTAGACATTTTTGGGTAAAAATAATGAAGCGTATATTGTAGAATTTCAAAATTAAAACACAATTTTTTTTAAATGTTTATTTTAAATTTCTTTGTTTTTTTGCAATTTGCCTATTTTGGCGCCCCTGTGTCAGCTGCGCCCTGGGGTAGAGGCTCCCCCGTCTCCACCCTGTTGGCTACGCCCCTGCCTACGAACGTTTAAAAAATGCGTTGTCACGCAACAATTTGTGTGCGAAAAAGTACCTACACGGGCTACACGCACACTGTGCGGAATGGAAAGTGGTATATTTTCCGCAGACAAATCGGTGCGTGAAAGCGCGTTCTCTGCACGCTCGTAGGAAAAATTGTTGTACTTTAACACAAGCGTGAAGTATCTTATTTCATTCTTTTCCGCACTTACGGTTTGCAAACGTCGTTGCGTGCGGAAAATTATAACTTTCCGCACTTGGTTAGGTAATAGTATTATTACATTACGAATGCAAAAAGTCACAAATTTCGCACGAGTATTTTTTAAAATCACACGAGTGTATGGAAGACGCTTTCTCACAAGTAATGTGCACCATTTTTCCTACGACCAGAAACCGACTGACACTAATTTTCTCTTATTTGATTTCTTTTCATTTTGAAAGTAAATTGTGATGTGAATCATAAATAATCTCAACAGTTTTTTCCACACGTGTGCTGAAAGTACCCTTAGCACGCGTATTGAAAGTACTTTCGGCACGCGTGTGATATTTAGCGCTTTCCAAAGAACCAGCTAGTGCGGGTTTTGTCATTTTCGTATCTGGTCGTAGGAAAATAACGTTATTTGCCACGAATTAAGGCACAGACACAAAAACAACAGTTTCAAAAGATTATGTTGGATTCATATCTTCATTGCACAAACCAACTACCATTTGCAATTACCTGCTTTTTGCGGTTACTACCATTAAATATTTGTGAAAATTCAATATTTTTACATTGTTTTCCTTAATCGCAGTAGTTGAGCTTTAAGTTTATATTTTTGATAGAGATTAAAAAGTTGTAAAAGCGTGTTTCATTAAACCAGTCCACTATTTTCCGGTGTGAAACACAAACCATGGTCCTTCGAGCCGCATATTAGATGGAATTTACAAAGCATTGGTAGACAAACTACTGTAGGTCCGTTTCATATTATTGTTTTTACCTTCCGTTCTGCATGCATTGTTTTCGATTTTTGATAGCCGTGGTGCCGTTTTGCTCGCAATATTAATGATTTTGTTAGTTTTTCGTGCCGTTTTAAGTGTATTTTGTTCGATTACTTAACTCTCCTTTGTCGTTTACTCATTTGTCGGTATTATTCATATTTCTTTGGTTACAAATCACAAAATGGGCACTATCACAGATCTAGAAAGGTTTACACGTAAACGCGGCTTGGTAAACGCATAGGTTACCATTTCTGCTAAATTTTTAGAAAGTTTTGAAGTGAAGTACCCTGAGAATATTATAGATGATTCAAATTTAGTTAGCAAACTCGAAGATCGTGCATTGAGATTTCGAAATACCTCAGACGAGTTCGAAGAAATACAGGATGAAGTAGATATCTTTTCTGACGACATCGATAAATAAATAAAAGATCGCGGCGCTTTTGAGGCCACATTTCTCGTGATAAACGCTAGGGCGAAGGCACTTTGCAGTTTGCAGTGCAAACGTTTTACAATTAGAAGATGACATTGCTGGTAGTGTTCAATCTGCAAGATCTGTCGCCAGCTCTCGGAACGATAATTTAGAATCAAAAATTAAGTTTCCCACTATACAACTTCCAAAGTTTGAGGGAAATTATGACAATTGGCTGGAGTTTCGAGACTCATTAGACTCTTTAATTAACAAAAATGAATCGATTAGTGAAATTCAAAAGTTTCACTACTTGCGCGCGAGTTTGTCGCACGGCCCGCGAGAAATAATTGGAAGTCTCGAATTTTCTAGTCAAAACTATGTTATTGCATGGGACTTAATTTGTAAGCGGTACAATAATACCCGTATTTCAGTTCAAAATCACGTCAAAGCCCTGTTTTCTCTTGATAAAATGGTCGAAGAGTCATCTCTTTCTTCACGTAAAACTATGATGGATAGTGTTGCCAAACATTTAAGAGCGTTAAAAATTCTTAATGAGCCTATTGAAGCCTGGGATAAGCATTATACTTTCTGAGATTTTGAAACAGGCTATCTGTACAAAATTAATCTAATACATACTCTTGAAACAAATCCATAAATTAACTAATACCTAGATATAGCTTTATCTCCTTTTCACTAGTTTCCCTACTTGAACAAAAATTAACCCACCTGAAAAACTAGGTTATCCTTTATCAGAAGACAAAGTATGTTTAGCATGAATAATTCGTATTGTTGCGTCGCTAATAAAACTGCGATAAATAGAATGTTATCGTCCCAATTTAATAATTATTCTCACAATCCTTTAGATTAGATTCACATCTTCACTTTATTGCTTAAATGCACCTAAAACAGATTGTTCTAAGTGTGTATTTTGTAATCGGCAATAATTTTTCTTTAGTTGATACAAATTTAATTTGCGGTTTTTATTACTGCAAGTTTCCTGGTAATAATTTAATGCGATAAGGCACAAATAATTTTAATAGTTGGATGTGTCATTGTTTATTAATTTATATCGTACCAGAAAAATGAGACGAAAGCTAGAAATACGTATTGGTGAGTTTATAGGCCGAATTATTTAAAAATAATTCAAATAGGTAATCAATCTATTGATAATTGATTTTGTTTCAGATATTCCATCCAAACACCATATCCAACTATGCCACCACAAACAAAAATCAAATTGGGACTGTGGTATTTCCTGTGTTCTAATGGTACTGCCAAATAAACATCGACAACATCTAATGAAAAATTTAAGCAAAATATGTAAAAGTGAAGGATTCAATAAAAGGTGAGTCTCGTGCCAAGTTTAATTTCAATCTTAGGTAATATTGGTGGTTTTTTAGCACTTGGACAATAGATTTGTGCTACCTATTAAAAATCTACAACATAAAACAAACATTTTACACTGTCACTATTGGTGTACACGAAGGTTATCGTGGCAATAGCTTTTATCACCACATATTAACAAAAGTAAGTACAAATTAACTTCAAAAAATAAATAAATGAAAAACCTAGTCATAAACCCACTAGGATGAAACTCGAGTTAATCTCAAATTCCAAGAAGCCTCAAACCACAATATACCGGTCAAAAAAGCCTCAATATCCATAATACATATCATCGAACAATTAGTTAACGGACCAATAATAATTTTAACTAACGCAAGACTTCTTTACTGTGATATTTGCAAATCCAATAAGATATCGAATGAACTGCGCAAGTGTTTACCATGGCCCATCACCTATCAAGGACATTATGTGGTACTTTGCGGATATGACATTGAAAGACAAAAAGTGTTTTATAGGAATCCATCTTTCGGAGATCGTAAGGAATTTAATGTGAGATTTTGTGTATTTTAGAATTAAGCATTTCTATTATTTGCAGATGTGTGTGCAATGTCTGTTTCAAATCTCGAGGAAGCCAGGAAGAGTTATGGTACTGACGAAGACATTATTTTTATTTATAAATAAATAATTTTCATACATTTTGTTTTGTGATTTTCCAGTTAAAATACTGAAGACTGTATAATAATCAATCATTCCAAAAATGCTATTTAACCATGAAGAACTATTGATCATTTGAAAATTGGTCTTCTTATTTCTAGACAATTGCGCTAATGATTCTATTATTATAGTTTCTGTCTGCTTTTTACATATCTGTTTTGCTTTTTTTTGTCTCTCCTTTCACTTGTCTTATTGGATAATTTAATAAGCTTCTTCCTTCTTCCAATATCAAAATCACATATTTTTAACGTTTAATTGTACTTTATTGATACTTGACGGGAGTATTTTTTCAATATTAATTAATAATTATGTTAAACTAGATTACAACAATTAAGCAGAAAATATTTGGTACTGAAATGAGAATACTTAAAGCCATTAATATGATAACGAAAAAAATATTACAACATATTTAACAATCAATCCTGGGTGGTAATGAATAAATTATCCAAATTTCCATCAAATAATTAAAACTACACAATAAACAATAAAAGAACCTAAAATAATAATTTTATCACTTAGAAATAAATAAATTCGAATAAAGAATGCCCCTAAATACTTGCACAACAACCCAAAATTATAAAAAAATCCCTTTTTTTTTGTATAAATTGGTTGCTTAATAAAGCTATAAGTAAGTGTAAAAAGCTCAAAAACTCCGAAGCCTAAGATTAGTCCCTCAATTTCTTGACTAACTATAATTTGAATTGTAAAATTTTTGGAGATTCTAAGTTAAAAATCAGTCCTCAATAAAATTATTGTTATTTTGAATAATGAGCAATATTAATTATGATAATCTCAAAAGTGATGTTTCAAATTAACCAACTAAAATTAATGCATATTTTTAATTTACACAAATTAATCCTTACTCTCTATGTGGGAGAATCTTTGCAAATTCTGGAAGCCATCTCTTGTAACGGTTCTAGCTCTCTTCTATTCACTAGGTTGTTTTCGGTGACAAAATAGTAGAAGTGCTTGTAGCAAGTGTTTACATGAGCCTCCTGGAAAAAAAAATGACGCTCAATATTAGAGACTGATTGACAAATTGGAAAATATTCAAATATAATGCAATAACATGAGGAGTTTTGGTATAGATATGCAGCTGAAAATCAACATTCTCACGTGCATCCCAATAGAATCCAGAAGTAAACCCTTAAAGCCCGGGACACATCTATCATGCATTCTTCCGATCCGACTCCAATCATACAATTAGGGTCCTTATTCTTGGAACAGGGAGCAGCGTTCCTAGGAGAACGAGTGTTCCGCTGATCCCCTGTTCCAAGAATAAGGACCTTGATTGTATGATCGGAGTCGGATCGGAAGAATGCATGATAGATGTGTCCCGGCCTTTGAAGTAACTCTCGAAGGGAATTTATCGTCCTGGAGATTTAGGTGGATCCTCCAAGACTCCACTGTCAAATAATGGGATCACCAATGTATATTGGCAATAACTCATCAACAATAATTAAACAATACAAGATCTTGATCATCTACATACAGGTAACGTAAAATGCCATAATATACCATGAGTACATTCAAGATTCAAAAGTTGATGTCACTTGACCAAAATTGAAGCGAAAGTGGTGAAATTGAACGACAATGGTAGAAGCAGCATAAAAAATTACCCACATCCTCAAAATTTCAATTATATTGGATGGCATATTCTGAAGTTGGGAAAAACGTTGTGGGACACCCTGTATATTCTATAATATGCAAATCATCGAGCTTTAAACTGCTAGAGGGATCAACAAGCATATTTGTTTTGTTCCATAATGAGGTAGCGGGGTCAGAGGGGTGGTTCATCCGATAAACAAAACGAAAAAAGGCCCTGTTGCCAAATCTTTTCCTGTACGAATAATAATCTCGATAATAATGAATATCGTCATCTATCGAAAAGTATCTATTTCAAATTTGTCTGCTTATAATAATATTAAAAATATACTTGCGACTTTTTAAGTGTATACTTAAAATAATTCTAAAACAACAATACCTTTTATCACGACTCGATTTGGTTTTAAATGGAACTACGTACCTACTTCTGAAGAAAGATTTTACAGTCTGGCAATAACGTAGTAATTGTTTTGTGTTCTCATGGGGTGCGTTCAAAGACGGCAATGCTAATGCCAAAACCTACTTTTCCCCTTCCACCGGTAATGCCGAACCACGTGGGTTGGAGCCGAACTCGAACGCAAAATGCCAATTATGGCTTGGCAGTAGCCATTCCTGAACGCAGCCCGGGTGTTCTCAACTTTCTTGTGAGAAATCAGCTGACTGCGTTCGAGAACCTGGTGTGTCGTATATAAATCACACAGCTGCCGTTCGGAAAGGCGAAGTGTGGATTAAAATCATATGGTTTTCGGCGTTCGGAAGGGTGTTTGACACGTATTGATGTGCGCACCGAATACTCTAGAGTGAAATTTAAGCTCACATTTTGAAGATGCACTCCCTGAAATAATTTCCACACCATCAACCAGGTTTTCGAACGCAGCTCTCTGATACCCAAAACATAAACAGACTGGTTTATAAACATTCTATTTTCATAAGTGCGAGAAAGAGGGCCTGGTCTCATTCTGGAACCAAACAAATTCTATAGCACATTATTATCTTTATTAGTCTAGAGAGAGAGAGAGAGAGAGAGAGAGAGAGAGAGTGTTCAATGGTCGAAGATGCAAATCAAAGATTATTCTTACCGCGGATATAGACACAATGTTCTGGAAATGGTGTATGTAGACGTGCACAAATACCCTATGCAACCGAGCCAATATTTTACTGCAATGTGTAGAAAAATTCTTTGGAAAAGGCATATCGCTTGTGCATGGAAACAATGCCTGATTGTTAATTTGCATTTCGATCCAATCCATCAAATAACTGATATATTCTCTGGCTGGCAATGGTGTGGGCTTTTTGAATTTATCCCCATCGGCCCACAAGTATTCGAAACGGGGCCCTCCTGACATTGTGGGGCACGTTTGTTCAGTGCAATATTCGCATATTGTTCCGTATATGAGGTTGATGCGATTGAAGAAGTCTACCACTAAAATTTACATAGATTATAGCGAATTAGTGGATGTTCCATTATTGTTTTTACCATGGACTGCAATCCAATCGTTAAGGTCTTCTCCTGGAGGCAGTTTAACAGCAGTCCTAAGGTTAATTCCTGAATTTAAACTAGCCTGGGCTTGTTTGTGCAAGCTGTACCTTATAGTTCCGTGGGCGAATTTCTTTTTCGGTCGAAAAGTCTAAAAATAAGTTCTTATGATTAGTGCATCGTTATTTCTGTAATTATTAAGCCAAGAAAATATTGATTTTGTGTAATACGTACCTTGCCTTTTTGGAAAAAGTCTAGAAAATTGTTTAAAGCCATTATCTTTGTATTTAATAAATTCTAAATTGATTTCCGCTAGTGCCTTTATTATTTGTTTACCTTCAAATTAAATATTTCAATTTTTTTTAGGGAGGGGGTGTTAGTGCAAACTGCAAAGTGCGCCAAGTGCGGTTTATGACGTACAATCTTGAAAATTGAAAATCGGGGAATTTTTTTGGTTAAATTGTGACACCGATTTTCATCCTGAAACGGTCAATGAACAGAATATTTATCGATAAATACCTTAACAAGGTAAATACCAAGAAGAGCTACACAACTCCACCCAGACTGGATTGCCCATTCAACGTTCGTCAATCCATGAGTCGGCAGCTGGTCTGCGGGTGACGTCACCACGTTCAGTAGCTGATAGTGGAGTCAGTGGAGAAGTTACCCGAAGACTCCAATAGAATTCAAGCGATTCAGGCCGTGCTTGCGAGTTAATTTTTTCGTCGATTTCAAATGTAGAAGAGGTAATTTTTAACGTTTAAGAATTCGTTTTTTTTTTTTTTTACTTTAAAGTGTTTTAATCTCGGATAATGCGGAAAAATCACTATTTCTTCATTTAAAGTCGACTCACAAGCACAGCCTGAATTGCAAGCAATCTCTAAAGCTCTGCGGCACAACTCTGCGGGTCATATCACCACTATCAGCTTCTCATAGTTGTACGTCATCCGCAGACCTTATTCAAGAATCATACACGCTACTACACAGGATTGCTTATCATCCACGTTTTTGGGAATCGCGGCCACATTATGTAGCACCATTAACGACGTCGTCAGCTGTTTGCGCCAGCGGTCCTAGCATAGAACTTAAATTTATGATGAAAAATATTATTTAATTTAGATTAACATAATAAGCAAAGAGGAAGATGCAAACGAGATCTGAAAAAGAGTGTTTTTAGAATGTTATATAATATAGCTCGGTATGCATCAAAACATTCTGCCACCCAATCTAGCCATAGCCCGGAAACCTGACCAATCAAATTCAATCAGGGGTCAGAATGTCGGGACGATGATATATGAAGCTATTTAAAGGGTCAGAATGTTATTGCATGGGCTAAATTTAGGGTCAGAATGTTACAGGCGATAGAGCATAAGTATTAAATTTAACAAACAGTGTTTGATGTTAAAAAATCTACTGTCTTTTGTACGTGTTTATACAATTCAGAGTTTTTTGATTAAAACGGAGGAATTAAGAAATATATCCATTTTGGATATAAGGGGTTAATAAATTTAGATTTAGCAAAATCTGAATACCTAATAATTAAAAATGTAAATTCTAAATTTTTCAAAGACCACATGTTTTTGTACAATTTCCTTCCCCTTTTTAATTTTCTGAATAAGCTTGTATTTATAGTGACCTACTTCTTGCTATTAAAATATGAAGATATCACTTTTATAGACAATAATTTTATAAAATTAGGTAATTATTTAATTTAAATGAAAAAATAATAAAATGTCTCCGCATAAATTTCAATAGAGCAAGAGCGGGAAATAAACAAAACATGCGGCACTTCTAACGGACAAGTGCAACAGGCCGTCCCGACATTCTGACCCCTGATCTAGCCCATGTAGTAACATTATGCCGCTTAAAATAGCCACATCGAATTTGATTGGTCAGTTTTCCCGGATATGGCTAGATTGGGTGTCAGAATGTTTTGATGAGCCCGGCATTCATAGTCGGATGTTTGGCTTAAGCTCCGACTTTTGACAGTTGTGAGCATCGTTCCGTGCTGTTTTAGAAACGCAAATATGGCGTCAAGTCGTACTTGAGCCAAGACGCAACCTTGAGCATCGACTATGAATACGGGCCATAATGTACTAAAACCAAGTATGCATAAAGCAAAAGCCCGCGGAATCATACCCTGTATTGCAAACACCCTACGTCCTCCTAGGCCAAGCCGAGAAACGACACGCTGCGTACGTCATCACTGGTTCTTTGTCGTCGTATGGGGCTTCAATTCTCTATTTCAATTTCAAATTTCCATTTATTAATCAGTACAGAAAAAGTACAGGGCAGTCATAATGGCATTGATCACAAATCATACCTAATGCTTACAAGAATATTAATAATAATACAAGAATACAAATATAATGACAGCCCCAGCAGGAATACTAAAGCTTACATAAAATCATTGAGTTTGCATAAAATGTAACAGTTAATAGTTTTTTTTTTTGAACTTAAACAAAAAAATAAGTGGTTTCAGCGTAACATCAAAACATAAAATGTACTCTGTATTTACGTCAGCAAAGACCACAAAATTACAAGTACAGTCGTGAGCATAAAACGTGGGACACCCGTTTTTTCCTTTTGTGAAACGAGCTCATCAGCTATACCTACGGCAATGACAGGGATTCAGTGTAGAGTAAAAATTTATCCAAAATAGCGAAAAATGACAAGACCTGTCAGTCGAGTTTCCCACTTTTTATGCACACGAGTCACGACTGTACCTATCCAAGCCAAACTTGCAGGTACAATTTTTTTAAAAAACAAAGAAGAGACCAGGGCCGGTATTCTCGTTCTCGAAAACGCTCACCGCTTTTGAGTCGCTCGGCAATTTATATGTAAATTAACATTAAAAGTGCCGAGCGACTAAAAAGCGGTGAGTGATTTCGAGAACGAGAATACCAGGCCAGGACCGGTATTCTCGTTCTCGAAAACGCTCACCGTTTTCTAGTCGCTCGGCACCTTTAATGTAAATTTACATTAAGGGCGAATTCTCATGAGCGTAAGTTGACATTTCTGGCGTAATCACGTGATAATATGATGTAATTTAATTGGCAAAATATTTGACATGTTGGATATTTTACCAATTAAATGACATCATATTATCACGTGATTACGCCAAAAATGTCAACTTACGCTCATGAGAATTCGCCCTAAAAGTGCCGAGCGACTCAAAAGCGGTGAGCGTTTTCGAGAACGAGAATACCGGCCCAGGGCTGGGATCACGACAAGTAGAATTATACTTTCATGACGTCACCCGCGACCTATTTATCGTGTATACTACAGGCGATGATCACTGTTGCTAGGCTACTTGACGTCATGAGAGTAGAATTCTACTTGTCGTGATCCCAGCCCAGGAAACATCTCAGATAACCGTCGCAGAATAGTAACTTTGGCACTGAATGCTGTAAATGTTCATCGGCTTGGGATTTATTCTACACAGGCCTTATGAGGAGCTATTCTGTAGAGTAGTAAGTAGTATGTAGAGCAGATTGGAGTAGAGGTGTGTATCCTTACGCCTTATGGTTTGGTTGAGTAATCCTATTTGGTGCTTTGGTGGAGTGCTCTTGGGCTACGTCAAGAACACTCACCAAAGATGCTTTCTTTTCAGAGCTTTGAAGCCCCTGGCTTCGACGTCCTGGGACGCGTCAGCGCACGCTTTGAAAAGAACGGTAAATAAGGATCAAAATCTGTGTTCAAAAATCTCACCTAAATTACAAAGTAAAATCTGTTTTTTTTAAAGATAAAAGTCAAAATGACATTATGTTGGCAACACAATGTAACATTGTCTTGCTTTCAAATTTTGTATGTAGAAAAGGCTTGTGTTGCCAACATAGTTACTTAATTTTTGACTTGGGGAATTATCTTTAAAAAAAAAAACAGACTTTATGTGTCATGGTCCGAGGCGCTAGCGGTGGGGATAGACGACCCCGGGGCTTGACGCCCCAATAGGGAACTTGACAAAAAATTTAATCATGAAAAAATTACTATAAATCATAAGAATATATTATGTTAAAACATATATCAGCGAAAAAGCCAAATTTTTTTATCGCGAACGGCCGCAATATAGAATTAGAAATGCGGAAAAATTCAAATTATTTCCAGCGGGAAGAAACGCGCTGGTACTGGTCGTGACGTCATGTAGTATGATCTGTCAGCAACCGTCCATCGATACCGTGAAGTCTTGAAAAACTGAGCGCTCGGAGCATTTTCCGTCTGTTTTCCTTATGATGAGAAGAACAGGGATAAAAGAACAAAACAGCAGCTCCGAGCGTTTACTCGAACTCTACATAATAAATACCCGTTAGCTGTGCTTTTCTACGTTTTTCTCTAATTTTTTAAAATTTTATCATTTATCAGAATTGGTTTACTTAAACTGAATTTTCGCGACGAATGTAGTTCATCCAAGGACGAACCATAGTCCGTCTGTGACGTCATGAGTTTGAACGCTGGTTTAAAGCTGAAGCTGCGTTCATGCTTCCGTCAAACTACGTTCAATAAGACGTCATGAGTTTCTCGCGAAAGCGTTTGGGTTCATGAAATCATAAAAGTAGTTCGTCGCGAAAATTCGGTTTTAGCTTAAATTAATGATTAGCTCAGCATTATACAGGGTGTCCCACTGGACGGCCAGGTACGATATTATGGAAATCATAGACCTTACGGCTGCGGGATTTTTTTTTTCTTCACTTAAATCGACCAAGAGAAATTTATTGAAATTATTTTCAGGTTTCTAAGATGACCGCTAGGATGCGCAATTACGATGATATAGCTACAGTGGCTAAATAAACCTTTACATACAGTGGCGACAATAGAGGTCCCGCCGCCATTTTGTTCCCAACCTCTTGTTACTTTTAAATATGAATTTATAGGTTTTAAATGGACATCTTTCATAAAAAATTTAAATCGACGTATTTGATGATTATTATTAGGTCCATCAAATGGCATCAAATACTTTGTTTTCCATGTTTTATGATGGATGTTCACCTAAATCCCATATATTCATATTTGAAATAAGCAATAGATGGGAACAAGATGGCCGCGTTTTCGATATAAATATATAGGATTTTAGAACCAATCAAAAATAAGACAGCAATTGTCGCCACTGTGAGTAATAGAGTCACTGTAGATATAGCTAAAAATTCAAATTTTCTCAAGAAATCGCTATATTAAGAGGGGCGTTTAAATAAAATGTCATTTATCTACAAGCGTTTGGTTATGACGTTTTTACATAACCATTTTTCTGGTATTTGAGTTATGTCATGAGACTCATAACATAACTAGTTGTGTTATAGCCTAGGTTATGAATTCATAACACAACTAGTGGTGTTATGGACTAGGTTATGAATCTATAACACAACTATTTTTGATGATTTGACAAATGTCAAAGGTAAACCTGTAAAGGTAAAATGAAGGTTAGACAACTACTAATAAACGGAAATAATGGAAAAAACATTCTTATTTTTCGCTTTGCACATAAAACGTTGTACATCACACGTGCGTTTAAACATGACTACAAAACTCGTGTGATTAGGACGACTCGGTCTACGACCTCGTCGTTCTAATCTTTCACACTCGTTATTGTAATCATGTTCATAAACGCACTTGTAATGTAAATAACTATTACAGACCTTCACATATCTCTGCTCAATTCCAAATTTAGACTATTTTTCAGTGAAATGAAGTTATGTTTATAACAATAATAGATTGGAGTCTCGTTCGAAGCATTTTTGGTTGTAAAATACGCATTCTAAATAGTAACATTACCAATTTTGTTGACAGCAATATGCAAATTTTGGTCATGGATTTAAATGAAAAAGGGACGAATACCTAGAGTAGCACTTCAACAATAAATTTCCAAAATTTCGGATAGTGAAATGCTGGAAAAAAATGAATAGGACAGAATTTTCGAAAATTATAATGTTTTTATTTTATCACAAAATTAATCAAAATCAGCCAAACAACAAGGTGATTGCTGTCATTTTCAGCAGAGACTCAAACCAAACGTGTGTTCAGCGCTTCTCTAAAAGATGTCGCTGAGTTCGGGTACTACGGTCTACTTTAAATTACTGTGTAAACGAATTGATATTGAAGATGTCGCCATCTACTTGTAAATAAGTCAATCATTTACAGATAATTTGAACATCTGTGATTAAAAAATATTTAATGTATGTCATAAAGCCCAAAAGATGGCGCGTTGGCTCTTATCTGACTGATCATAAAAAATTGAAATCGACGTATTTGATGACCATTAAAGTTGTTTTTTTTTTAAAGATAATAGACCTAAAATGTGTTTTTTTTTAAAGATAAAAGTCAAAGTGACATCATGTTGGCAATACAATGTAAAATTGTCAATGCTTTCAAATTTTTATGTAGAAAAGGCTTGTGTTGCCAACATAGTTACTAAATTTTTGACTTGGGGAATTATCTTTAAAAAAAAAAAAAAGACTTTATCTATTTTTACCTGGTATGCGCGCGCAACACGAGGCAATGTCTTTTTATTGGTTAGCTAATACAGGTGTGAGGTGATCGTTTTGCATGCTGGGCATCTCTTTATCCTTGTTCATTGCACGTGGTCTGACAAGAATAAATCTAAAGTTGATATTCAACTTGACAAGTGTCATTCAAAAGTTGTTTGACATTTTCATTGACAAATACGTTGCACAACACGCGGTTTTTCTCCTTTCCTTTTTATCCTGTGCAAATAAGAAGGGCGGATTGCTATACGTAAGTCTAACATAATTTGGTACGTTTTGCCTCGTCTTGCGCAATGAGCGTTTTGTATCTTTTTTTGTTAAATGAAGTTTTCGTATTATTACCTCTTTGTCTGGTAATAAAATAGATAGGTCTATTCCCCAAGTCAAAAATTTAGTAACTATGTTGGCAACACAAGCCTTTTCTACATAAAAAAATTGACAATTTTACATTGTATTGCCAACATAATGTCATTTTGACTTTTATCTTAAAAAAAAAAAACAGATTTTATTAGGTTCATCAAATACGTTGTTTTCCATGATTTATGATGAATGTTCACCTAAATCACATATATTCATATTTAAAAGTAACAAGAGGTTTGGAACAAGATGGCGGCGTTTTCAATATAAATATATGGGATTTTAGAACCAATCAAAAATGAGACACAGCAATTGTCGTCACTGTATATATATCTGACGCCCCTCTTTACAACAGAAATCAAAAGTTCATTAATTTTCACGCCAGTTTAGTTTAGGCTTTTTTCGTATCTTCATTAATAAGGGTGGGGGGAACTGGTGAAAAAATAGTTTTAGAAATTGCTATATCTTCCATACGCCTCATCCAAACTCATTCAATTTGGGCTTATTTGGTCGATAGTTCCCACCGCGTCTTCTAGAGGGCGCTGTTTATCCAGGATCCAATTTTTTGTAATTTTCATGAAAAATCCAAATGGCAGGATATTATTATTTTTTTGCTGTGCTTGCTTGAAGAGCAAAAAAATATCTACATTATGCCGCAAACCGCAATTCAATATCTGCATTCGTTTTCAAGTTACGTAAGGTCTATGGTTTCCATAATATCGTTCCTGGCCGACCTTAGTGGGACACCCTGTATACATAAAACGATATACCTGCTATTAATTATGACCGAAGAAGGAAATTCCAAAGGCCAATCCGACAATCTGTAATTTGTGATATGTTTATGGTAGCAAAAGATAGTATGTGCGAATCTTTATTTCCATTATAACTTCAAAATTTACAACTCGCCGCAACACAAAACATCAACAAAACAAATAACGGTGGAAAATGTGGAAATCAACCAAACTAAATACACAAGGAGACGCAAATTCATACTACGTGACGTCATCCAGATTCGTGCGCATTTAAGGTTGTTTGAAATGCTTTTAATACGCGCGAAACTTTAAACATTTTTCACCAAGTTATTATTGAGTTTTAGGAAATAATATCAAGGCATAATAGTTATTTACATTACAAGTGCTTTTATGAACACGATTACAATGACGAGTGTGATAGATTAGAACGACGAGGTCGTAGACCGAGTCGTTCTAATCACACGAGTTTTGTAGTCATGTTTAAACGCGCGTGTGATGTACAACGTTTTATCTACAAAGCGAAAAATAAGAATGTTTTTTCAATTTTTTTTTCGTTTATTAGTAGTTGCCTACCTTCACTTTACCTTTACAGGTTTAACGTTGACATTAGTCAAATCACCAAAAATAGTTGTATTATGAATTCATAACCTAGTCTATAACACCACTAGTTGTGTTATGAATTTCATAGCTTGGTCCATAACACCACTAGTTGTGTTATGAGTCTCATGACATAACTCAAATACTAGAAAAATGGTTATGTAAAAACGTCATAACCAAACGCTTGTAGATAAATAAATAATTTGAATTTTTTTTTTAAAGTTTCCTATTAAAAAGACCGGTGGCACATTCACAAAACACACATATCAAAATCGTGATCTAGGGCGCCCTGGGATGCCCAAGCCCGTGTAAGAAAGCAGCCCAAATAGGACTGCGAGCTGAAAGTGTCTGCCCTCTGCCCTGTCCACGCAAAAACTCCTCACAGTCCCCACTATTTGTGACGTCAGCCGCAGACCTCAACTCTTGGCATAAAATGCATTTTCCTAATTTAAAACACTATAGGTCAAAAAACCGAATGAACTCCTAAACGTTAGAATTACCTTTTCTACATTTGGAATCGACGAAAAAATTAGCACATAACGACAGCCTGAATCGTGAGCAATCCATCAAAGACTGCCGGTGACGTCAGCCGCAGACCTCAACTCTTGGCATAAAATGCATTTTCCTAATTTAAAACACTATAGGTCAAAAAACCGAATGAACTCCTAAACGTTAGAATTACCTTTTCTAGATTTGGAATCGACGAAAAAATTAGCACATAACCACAGCCTGAATCGTAAGCAATCCATCAAAGACTGCCGGTGACGTCACCCGCAGAACAGCTGTCGACTCGGGAATCTTGAGATCTAGAGATAGGGAACGTACGCCCTTAAGGGCGGGTATTATGAAACTACTTTGAGAGTTAACTTAAAGTTAACTTCTAGAATTACATGTAATTCAAAAAGTTAACTTCAAGTTAACTGTCAAAGCAGTTTTATAATATCCACCCTAAGTTGAGCAATACTATTTGGTGGAGTGTTCTTGGAGCTATGCCATGCTAAATTTCATATTTTTGTTGCGTTTTTGTTAGGTTCGTAGTTCATATACAACAGCTATCCACGAGTCATGACATGATGTCACCGACTTATTCCCAAGTAAAAACCATATACGCAAAAACCTATTTTGTTCGATTATTCGCCTAAAATTGGCTAAAGATCATCATTTCAGGCTGAATATCGTCTCATCTGCCCACGAATTTCTGCCTCGATGAATTCGAAGACGAAAATGCAAAAGTGTTCTAATCTGTGTTTACATAGCTTGGTTCGGGTTCGAAAAAAGGGCGGTTCTAGAACGGTTCAAAACCCGTGGTATGCTCTTAGGTCGGTATGCTACGAGACGAAATCGCTGCAGTACATTTGCGCCATCTACAAGCGTTAACTGACAGTTGCAAAAAAGGATTGCTGTAAAAAATGTCAAAGTCGAAAAATTGTCAATTGTCAATGTCAACGAAATTGTGCCCCACCTAGCTTTCTCTCGCTAGATTCTCCGAAGAAAAACCGTTAAGACGCCGCTGTCATAGTCATTACATTACCGCTCCCACAAAAATCATCGCCGAAAATAGTTACGGTTACCTCGGCCGATATTTTTCTTCAATAATCAGTTTGTAGTTGTGCTGTCGTCGCGTTCAGAACTGACCGAAGGCGAAAAGTGACCTAAACGTGGTGTAATTTGATTACGGGCTTTTAAACAACGAAAACGATGGCTACCAGAGCGAAAAAGTCGGCGACGCCGGGTTCGCAGCCTCCGCCGCGGGCTCAGAGTCCTTTGAGCCCCACCAGACATTCCAGATTGCAGGAAAAACACGATTTACAAAACCTGAACGATCGGTTGGCTACTTACATTGAAAAAGTCAGGTTAGTTTGTCAGGGTTTTCTAAGATTGTATTCATTTATTAAAACCAGGCCATTCACTATTCAGCCATCATTGCAATCCCCAATCTGAACATCTGCTTCCAAAAATATCTAGTATTTGTTTACTTGTAATCTTTATTCAAATATTGTTTATTTATTCTCGTATTTATTTTTCAAGTATTTGCCAAATATGGCCATTGTCGGCATTATTATTGGCAATTGCATTGCAGGTGCTTATAAATATTACCACAGTATTACACCCGAGATTACATCTCAAATCAGTTGAAAAAAATCCCAATAAATTACAAAATAATTCAAGAAATAAGGAATTTGCGAGGGAATTTGTAGCCAATTTATAGTTTCAAACACATTACATCAGTCAGTATACCCACCAAGAAAGACAGGGCCTTTCTAAATAACATTATTAATACATGTACTGATTTATCCAATTTGTTTGAATCAAATTCTGGAAAAATACACTCCTAAAACAAGGGATATTCCTTGGCACTTCCAGTTATCTTGGACTTAATTAAATTTTTGGTCTACTCAAACTCAAGAATCTCGAAAGATTCCATGTTAAAATCGGTAGCAAAATCGCCATATAAAAATATAAGGTACATTGGCAATATTTCAAAAACCAAACATTTTGGTAATTGATAACTTCACATAAAGATAAGATAAATTTACTAATCCTATTAGTCAGCAAATAACTGGCCAACCAATAGAATTATAGCGTTTTTATCTGTAAGATCTCATTAATTTACCAGACAGTTTATCAAATGGTGAATAAACTCGGCCTTAATAAAATAAAATTATAAATTCAAATTCAAATATATTACTTCTGAGTTACATTATACATATATAAGTTTAACATATAATTCAAATAACAAAAGTTTTAATCTAAGATGCAAATGTTCATTTTGACACCTAGCTAAAAAAAACAGCTGTATGTGTCAAAATTTGGCGGTTTCAATTTGAAAATAGTATATTACATACCGAGGTGGAAAGTGTTTCATTACTGTCGAGAGATTTTAGTTAGACCGAGGTCTAACTAAAATCTCGAGACAGTAATGAAACTTTTCACCGAGGTATGTATACTATTTTATTTACAATCATTCGAATTTTGAAATTTTGATTTGAATTAAAACTAAAAAATACAATAATTAACAATTTCATTTACTTTCGGCCCACGGGTCGAAAGTTTACTTGATGATATCTTGAACCATTTTGTGGCGGGAATCCAGCGACTTTCTCAATTTTTCTCTCTTTGTTCCCGAATTCGATAATTACCAAAGTCCGATTGTTTTGATAAGACACCGGACACCCTATATATCATTGACTGATTGGATAGCTCTGATTTTGCTGCTTTTAATGTAAAGTTCGCTAGGTTTATCTCTGACAGTTTTCCAGAAAAAAAATTATGTCTGTTTTTGTCATAAGAAACAATGTGTTACAAGAGGACTTTATATCTATAAGGAAAATGAGAAAGGTCCAAGGTCCCCTTCTAACACATTGTTTCTTTTGACTAAAACATCTATAATTTTTTTTTCTAGAAAACTGCTAGATATAGACCTATTAAACCTTATATGTACCACTAATATAAGAAATAATAGAGCTATCAATGAGTTATTAATATACCGGTCTGGCAAGTGAACATCTTACGGGCCAATTTTAATGCTATAGAATGAAATGTCTAGAGAAAGTCTAAGGTTAAATAGAGAACGAAAACGATTTCCCCTGGTCCACTTCAAGCAGACAAGCATTCCCAGCGTTTCATGCTGGAGGTGGAACAGGGGAAATTATTGTAGTCTTTATTCAACCTTAGACTTTTTCTAGACATTTCATTCTATTGCATTAAAATTAGTCTGTAAGATGTTGACTTGTCTGACTCGTATAGAGTTTTTTATTAAAAAAAAGGGACAAATATAAAAAATTGGTTATGTCATTGATTTCTGCTTGAAAATGTACCTCTAGAAAGTTTATACAGAAATCCATTATTTTCATAAATAAAAAAGTTAGGAAGGTTTTGTATCTGGCTCAGAAATTGACGTTTCAAATCAACAGTGTCCAAATTGGACCACCCTGTACCTATATTCTTTAACATATAGGTAAAGTAAAAATAAATTTTTAAAAAATCATGGTTGATAATTATTCTAAACCTGCGCCCCCTCCTGAAGAAAATCCTGGACCCGCCACTGATCATGGCACTCTAGTTGAAAAATTAAAATTTAAATTAAAACCAAAATTTGGACAAAGCTCCATTCAAAAGTGATGCATTAGGACGAAAAACGATCAAATCAAATCAAATAACGCTTTATTGTCTAAAGAAAAAACTCATTGGCAAAGCCTAAAAAATATAAATTTAACCCTAAATTCTAAATCTTAGCAATACGCAATGCAAAATAAATTATAGACACATAACTTAGGGCTAGTCAATTGTTCCAATATACTACAAATACTATTTCGATTAGATAAAACTAAGTTAAAATACAAAAATTTACACAAAAACAGGAATACTTTTTTAAAATCTCGATACAATAGTTAAACAAAACAATCAAAGTAAAAATTAATATAAGATCAAATGACTAAAAAACATCCTGATAGAACTCTTCTAAACTATAGTATGCCTTTAATTTTAGAACGGACTTTACACATTTTACAAAACTCTCCAGATCATGGAAACCCTTCCACTCATCTGGCAAATGATTGTATATCTTTAAACTTTCATACATTAAAGAGTTTTTGGTAAAACCACTCCTGGGTATTGGTAATGGTAAATTATGTCCATAACGTGTGTTGTGGATGTTGGGATTTAAAAAGTTTCTATATTTTTTGTGCACCAAGGAGACAGTCTCCAAAATAAAAATACATGGCAATGTAAGGATTTCTTCCTGAACAAACAATAACCTACAATGGTCCCTAGCCTTCAATTTGCATAAATACCTAAGCGCCCTCTTCTGTAGGACAAACACCGAATTAAAAAGTTGTTTGTTACAAAAACCCCAAAATGCAATCCCATATCTCAAATGAGACTCAACAAGTGAATAATATACGGACTTAGCCATGAGTGACCCCAGCTGCCCCGTGACAATGCGAACAGCAAAGCATCCAGATGCCAATTCAGACACAATATATGCTCTTTAAATTTTAAATCCGAGTCTATGTGCAAGCCCAGAAACCTGCAGCTAGCCTTATTTGCCACGAAATAATTGTCCACATTCAGATCATCCAAAACAAACCTAAAAGAAATAGCACTAGTTTTATTTAAATTGAAACAAAGTAAATTTGCGTCGCACCACTCCTTCACACGTCGTAGGTCTTCAATTTTAATATCTTTCAATAAACTAGCATCTTCATCAAGCCACAAGATGGTCGTATCATCTGCAAAAATGGTAAAACGGCCTCGAATATCTAGTCTAGCCAAGTCATTCAAGTACAATAGAAAAAGAACTGGGTCCAAGAACCCTCATCTGTAGAATCAGAAAAACAAAAAATATACAGGGTGTGCCATTTAAAATTCAAAAGTTCTGGTCATTTCCGGTGAAACCGGAAGTCAGGAAAAGTTGTCATAAATGCATAAAAATGGCGTTTGGTTAGAATATCAACCCTACCAAGTTTCGTTGATATTGATAGACAAATAAAAAAATGGCAGCCAGAAAGTGATCTCGTGGGATCCCGGTATATCCAATATGTGATATTTCAATAACGGTACGCAGTACGTGAGCCATATAGCAATTTGGTTTGCTATCCTAACATTCCTAATTGATGAAAATTTTCTTTCTCAGGACCGGTTTCTAAGTGAACGGTTATTCAGTTTAGCTGTTGGTTAACTGATAATTATCATTGGTTAACCAACAGGTAAACTAGATAAACGTCTATTGATAAACCGGTCCTCAGATAGGACACTTTTGCAATTCGTCACTTTTGGTTACGCAAAGTGTTTTGGCATCTGGTTACTTACTGGTTATTGTTAAATATCGCTGACCATATCATCATATCCTAACATTCCTAGCCATTTCGTTACTATTTATGACTACTTTTCGTAACCTGATTGACGCCGAAATTCGCTCAATCTCAACTCAACCATAACTACCTAAACTGTAACTGTATAAACTGTACCTAATATAAACTTTAAACACTTTTATTAGGATAAATATCGTGATATTTTTAAAATAAATATCGTGATATATATCATGATCTAAGGCCCTAAGGATTTTTTTTTAGAATTTTTTTAATTTTTTTCCAAAATTTTCAAGTTGCAGATTTTAAACTGAAATAACTTTTTGAAAAATCATGAAACTGACAACATTTTTATTTTAATTTAGACTCATTCTAGAATCATACAAATTCAATAATTGGGGCCCATGAAAACAGCATTGTTTGAGTTTTATCCCCATTAAGCATAAGCTTGTTAGCATTAAACCAATTTTCGGCCTCCAATCGTGCCTCACGCGACCTCACCTCCAAGGCTCCCAGATCATTATTCTGAATAGTGAGAGTAGTGTCATCTGCGAAAAGTATGTATCTGGCTAGTTCACTCAGTGGTAGGTCATTTATAAAGATGAGGAAAAGAATAGGTCCCAAAACGGAGCTCTGTAGCACACCTACCCTTGAGAAACCCTCAGAAGACGATACTCCCCCCACCCTTACCATTTGCGTGCATTCACTTAAGATATGATTCTAGCAATTGTATGGTGCCCTCTGAGAAATTGCGAACCACATGAGGCACAATCAAAAGCCTTGCTCAGGTCATAGAAATGTGCTAAGAGGTGTTCCGGTGTCTCAAAAGCATCCATTATGTTAGAGAGAAGATTGAGGACTGCAAGAACTGTGCCCTTTCCCCCCCTGAACCCAAATTGACTATCAGTAAACAAGTTGTTGCTCTCAAAGAAGTCACTAATCCTGCATGCCATGCACCTTTCAATTATCTTCGACAAAATTGGCAACAAGGAGATGGGACAATAGAAGTATCATTTCTGTCTCCTTCTTTAAAAATTGGAGTAATTGCAGCCCTCTTGAGTGACTTAGGAAATTTATTCTCTCTAAAGCATAGGTTTATCATCTTTGTCAATGGTACCAGAATATTATTTTTTATATTCTTGATAAGTTGTATATTCATACCATATTCCCACTTTTTTTATTTTTCAAGTTGTCTATAATATCCCTCACAAAATTATAGTTAACTTCCCCAATTGAAAATACTTCCTGTGGGCCAGTCAGCTTTTCTAACCCATCAAGGGGATTTCGATGTATTTTTGGAATTTTATTTATTATATTATTATCTGGGATGTTCAAGAAAAACGAATTGGAGTTTTCAGGGTTTATGCTAGGTAATAACTCAAATTTATTGAAACCTCTATGACTGTTCATGATGTTCCACATTGTCCTGATCGGACTTTTTGAAGTTTGTATTAAGTTATCATTAGCTTGTTTTTTTGCTTGTTTAAGGGCCCTATTGTAAACCCTTTTTCAAAATTCCTCTCTATTATAAACTTTGCTGTAAAATGTAAGTGATCCATTTTACGTGAAGCATCACTAAACCAAAATATCTTATGCAGCCGGTCAGTTCTCAACTATATTAACTTAAACACCCTGTATCCCACAAGGTCCAATAGAAGAGTTATGTCAAAGGTACCTATGTACCAATAAACACCACTCTTGGAACTTCAAGTTTTAGCTGTAAAAAGTTTTGAAAAAAGTATAATCAGCTGATAAAATGACTGTTTATTTTCAATTTTCTTTTAAGAGATGCCTATATCATTTCAATTCAATAGGGTTGAAAATACAAAAGTACAGAAAAACATGAAACATCAAGGCTCTTCAAATCATTTGCCTATTGTTTATTCTTCATTATTACTTTTTTGAATATTTTTATGAGAAAAGAATCTCAATTATTGTAGGTGGACTAAAAATCAGCAGGCATATAAAATGGCTTCAAAATTACTTACAATTTCCCAACTTCAAAGTGTGAATAAACAATTATTATGCGCACATTAATCAATAAATTAATATAATCTTAACTATTTATTCTCTTACAGGTTTCTGGAGAATGAAAACCTAAAACTAACAAAAGAAGTCCAATGTCACCAGGAAACAAGCCAACGCGAAGTGTCCCATATCAAGTCCATGTACGATCATGAACTGGGCGAGGCTCGCAGATTACTGGACGCTACTCACAGTGAAAAATCCAGACTCGAAATCGACTTGAAACGAGTGCTGGAGGAAAACGACGACCTTAAAGCTGACTTGGCCAAAAAAACAAAAGACCTTGTAGTTGCTGAAAATGCTGCCAGGGTTTACGAGACCCGGTGCAACGATTTGCAGTTGAAATACACCCAGGCCAATGCTGACGCCAAGAAGGCTATCGGGGATCTTAAGGATTTGGAAAAGGAGAGGGACAAGTTGAAGAAGATGCTGGATGAGCACAGAAAACAGTTGGAGGAGGAAAGTTTGGCTAGGGTCGATGTTGAAAATGCTAATCAGACTTTGAGAGAGGAATTGTCGTTCAAGGATCAGGTAAGATGGATTTTTTTTTTCAATTTTCTACTCAAGAATTGCAATCAACTTTAGACGAAACACAATACTTAGATTCTTTGAGGAGAAACTCTCCAAAAATTCAAAACAATAGCTTCACAAATAAGGGAACCATGAAATTATGCACACTCAATTTTTCCATTTTAAATGTGATAATGTCAATTTTTTCCACTAAATTAATAAAAGTGGAATAAAAGCAATGAATAAAACAGAAACTGTATTTATTTTGACTTTGACAGAACAGCAATTTGAGGTTTTGAAATAACAAACATTTACAGAAGTTAACTCTCTTTGCAACAATTTTTTAGTATTGTGATTTTAGTTCCATATTTCTATTAAAACATCTAGGAACAAATTTGAAGGCTTGATATTATGATGCATAAATTTGTAAGTAAAATTCTATATCAGAAAAGGTTGATCAAACCATATATCTAAAGTGTGCGCCATAAAGTTGGGTACATATGGGAAAATTCTTAATTATTCCTTGTTTCAAAAAACTTTTTTGGGGATCGTTAGGGCATGTTCAATAACCAAAAAATCGATTATGACACATGTCATGTTATTTTTCTGATGACCAGAAAATGTGCAAAAAGGGACATGGGTACAGTTATAGCGACACGACCTGACGGTATTTTCTAATTTATGACCTTCAAGTGTGTATTCCGCAAAACATTCGATTCGTTTGATATCAAACTTATGTAGTTTAGTTGAATAAAGGTATTTTTCTCCGAATGACAGTAAAAGCGGCCATTTAATGACACTTGACAGGATCAAAAGCTGTATTTTTACTTCCTAGGCAGTAAAAGTGGACTTTTACTGCCTAGGCATTAAAAGTGACAGTGTCACAACGTTGCAGGTAATAATTTCACTCAATTTGGTATTTGAAATTGATGGTGACAATGATAATTGTCAAAATAATTTAATTATTTGGATAATAATAATGAATGAAATAAATATAGAAAATATGTCCATGTGTGAATTTAAACATTCGGAGAAAAAATTATATGTTTTACATGGCAGAAAAGCAGATTTAATGCCTTGGCTGGTTTCCTAGCCTCGGCTATGAAACACCAGCCGCGGCATTAAATCTTGTACTTTTCTGCCTAGTAAAACAAATAACTATTTTGGAATAAAATTAAGGGTAAAATAGTCAAAGTCAAAGTCAAAGTCAAAAAATGCTTATTGTCTAAGAACAAAATTCTCGTTGACAAAGCTGTAAAAGGGGGAAAAAAAAAAAAACATTATACAAAAATAATTCCAGGGCCATAGAGTACCAAGATTGAAATAATCAAAATAAAAATACAATACAAGGTCAGACTAAAACAATAAATCATTTAAACAGTCATTAAAACAAAAGATGAAGTCACTTTAAAAATCAACATAAATATAAACATAAATCAACATAAATACAAAAACATGTCATTCTAAAATATAAAATACAAAATATCAAAATTGCACAAACGTAAAGTCAACAGACATAGAAGTCATTGAATAAAACTACAAATTATATTCAGACAGTCACAAGAAAGCATCTTGGAAAATTCTTCTGTGCTATAGTAGGCCTTTGATAATAGAAGCCTCTTAAGATGTACTCTAAATTTTTTACCAGATACTATCTGTCTCAGATGCAGTGGCAAATGGTTAAAGATCTTTTTACTTTGATAGATTATCGAGTTTTTTTGTTGTGTGGAGGAAGGGATAGGAAGGTTCACATTGTGTGTTTGTCGAGTGGTATGTACAGGATGAAAAATTCGTGTATGTTTTCCTTAAACTTTTTATGAACGAGACATGAAGTCTCTAGTAAAAAAATACTAGGAAATGTAAGCAATTTATGACGCAAAACAATGGTCTACATGAGTCTCGTAATCCTATCTTAAACATATACCTTACCGCCCTCTTTTGCAAACACAAACAACATATTAAAGAGAGACAATGAACAAAAACCCCAGAAACATATTCCATACCGCAAATGGGATTCAACGAGAGCAAAGTATGCACTTTTTGTTGTAGTAGCTTTATTTTTTTTTCTCTGATTTGCTTCAAAATCAGCATGTGAAGCTCTTTTTGGATTCTGAACAACTTTTTCTTATAAAATTTTTTGATATCTTGCCAAATTTACCTGTTTTTCGACATCAATATCAACTTTTTTTCAAAATTCCCGCTTAACCGATAATCACATGACATGTGTCATAATCGATTTTTTGGTTATCGAACATGCCCTAACGAACCCCAAAAAAAGTTTTTTGAAAGAAGGAATATTTAAAAAAAATTTCATATGTACCCAACTTTATGGCACACACTGTATAAGATTTTTAGCTACCTACCACTAAAGACTTTAAAAAAAGATGCCATGTCATTTCCACCAAGATTATTGTAGTTACAAATACAAACAAAATATCATGTTACGTTTTTCCAGATTATGTTTTATTTCAAATCATTTACCAATGAATGAGCTATGATGTATCAAGATAAAATACATACAGGTTGTCCCACGGTGGATGGCATATTAAACGTTCATGGAAAACTAAAAAGCGGATTATTTTGAAAATTTGGCAACCGAGATGAACGACCATAATCTACACTTTAAAAATATTTTTGTTTATGCGGTGTTGCCGCTTCTACTCTAAGCTAGTGGCAACATCGCCATTTTAGATGAAACACCTTGTATGTGATTGGATATTTGGATTCTACGTAAAATTCTGAGCATATTTCATGTGTTTTCCCTTTTACCTAAGTTCAACTGTTTTGGAAATATTGACAGTTGAAAATTGACTTTTTGCAAATTTGACATGCGGTAAAACCTGAACGGTTAATTTTAGAGGAAAACCTATTTTACATTCCTATCTTAGATTTTTATCAACTATCATTTGACACCAATTTTGTATATAATCTTAAAAATTCCAATTAAATTTAATCTCTGGTTAAATTCAAAGTTGGTGTCGAATAATAATTTTTCTGCGATTGACAAGAAATGTCAGCATTTTTGACCGATTGACAAGTCGCAAAACTCAATATTCTGGAATTTCAATTATGTTTCAATAGTTGCTAAGGAATCAATGAATAACAATACGGCAAACACTTTTCCGGCCTAGGCCTGCTGAATGATTGGAACTAAAAGACAAACATTTAACAGGTATTTAACCGATTGCAGAAAAAATAGTATGTGTATTTCGGTGGAAAATCACATTCTCGGCCTTCGGTGTTTGCCGGCCTCGGCTACGCCTCGCCCTTCAACTTACACCGTCGGCCGAGAATGTGTCATTTTTCCACCTTATTAAACAATATACTATTACGAAAATCTAAAATAGGAATGTAAAATCGGTTTTCCTCTAAAATTAACCATTCAGGTTATATCACATGAAATCTGCTCAGAATTTTACGTAGAATCCAAATATATGTATAATCACATACAGGGTGTTTTTTAAAAAAGCGATGTTGCCACTGGTTTAGAGTAGAAGCGGCAACACCGCATAAACAAAAATATTTTTAAAGTGTAGGTTATGGTCGTTTATCAGGGTTGCCAAATTTTCAAAATGATCCGCTTTTTAGTTTTCATAAACATGTAATACGCCATCCACCGTGGGACACCCTGTATTTTAATAATGAATAACTTAGCTTTGTTGAAGCCTATGCTTAGTTTAAGAAGAGGTTCTCAAACAAAACAAGGATAGTGCCTTGCAATATTATATTTAATTTTTTCTTGTCTGAGACCTATCAATCTGATCTAAAACATTCTCAGTATCTAATCATAAAATACCTCTAAGTATCATATTATTATTAATTTATTGTTTTGGTTTATTGGGCAGCTTTAACTTATTGTTTTATCAGGATTAATGTTTTTGTAACATCAAATTCTTCTAAATGGCAACTAAATGAATAAATCAAATCAAATACTTACATTATTGTCCATATTACAAACGATGTACGGCTCACTCACCACAATTTGTACATTTCGGAAATCGCAGGGGATTTCGACATTTTTGAGGGATTTCGAAAGATTTCTTCTTCGTCTTTCAACGCCGTTTCACTAAGGATTTTGAGGATTTCGATAAATCTATTGGGATTTCAGGAGGATTTCAGATAGGATTTCGGTATTTGCGATTTTGAATAGATTTCGGGATTTTCAAAGAATTCCGAAATAATCTTACAGGATTTTGGATGAAAATGTACAGCGATTTCGGGAGTGAGCCGCCTCGCGATTACGAATAATTTGTCTAATTGACTCGAGTGTTAAGTTACATAATTATGTGGCTAGATCAAAACTATTGAAACACAGAACCAACATAATTTTTTTTCCAAAAAAAAAGCAATGAGCAACTTCCTTGGCAAATTTTAAATATACTAAAAAACAAAACTATTCACATCAATTTATTTGGTAATTTTGATTTCAAGTTAAATTTCACTTCTTCCTTGTTTGTTTATTATCTCTCAGCATTCTGTTAAACCTATACTTGTTTTCTTAGAAGCTTGCCTATTTAAGCAGGGAAGATTTTGGGATATTTCAGTATTCCCTGTTAGTTTTACTATAGCCACGCCGCGGTTATCATAAGAACTTAAAAAACACTTGAAATTTAATTGCTTCCTGTCTTGACTACTGATGAGTTAATTTTCAATTCTTTTTAGCTTGGGACCTTGTACATTTTTATTTACATAAATTGCCTAATATGTTAACTATGTATCAAATGAAAAATGTACACTAATCTACCCAAAAATATAGTTTGACCCATATTAATATCTCTTCAATGTAATTTCATATCTTGTTTTGACACAAAAGAATGAAGTCATCAAACAAAACCGCGCAAGCATATTTGAGAAATTTGGTAGAATAATCGATGACATCACTGGTTTACAAGAAGGTGGGATTTTATGTTTATTGCGACCTTTACATATATTTTTAAAACAAATACATAGTCGAATCAATATGAGCCCACATATCTGCAGATGGTTTTAGGTAGAAACCTCATCTGCGTCAGCTTTTAATTTTCAAATAATATGTATTGTCGCTTGACACTTTAATTAAATATGCTAATTTTTCTTCAAACAAATAAAAATATATTACCTAATTTTTAGGTTCCGATTATGAAATAAATGTTTTTAACTTCTTTTGATCATCACTAAATGTGTAAAGGAGGTAGGGTATAGGCCAGCGTATAAGAACAATAATTCAAAGTAGTTCTTGAGCTGTCGTCCGTTAATGGCCAGTAGTAAATAAAAATAAGGTCCCGGGCTCCGTAATGTGGGTTAAATCAATATCCATAAAGCTTCATTTAGGAAGGTCAAAAGTAAATATTTTTCTTGTGATGCTTTTACTTGAAAGAATTAAATTGTGTGGAGTAGACTCGTTTAAGCTAATTGATTCATAATTTGGCGAATTGCAGGTCGCTTTAGAGTAAAACATCAACAGATAGGTACTTTCTGGAAGTAAGCATAGTAAAAAATCAAAAAGAATCAGACAACGTAAAATAATATTGATAATACCAGTCCAGATGAATTTCATTGGAAAAATTTGCGTTTTCCTGAGACGATTTCAAATATAGGTCAAGAATATTATCAGGCTAAATTTAAAAACTGAAAAACGCTTCCTCATAGTTGTTTTTAATCGTGAGCTTTGGCTGAATTTTCTTAATATTTTTAATGTCTCTGGTTGGTTGTTCCATTAACTGTTAGTTTTAATTTTTGATAAATAATAATTGATTTATTTATCTTGTAGTGACAATAGATATATTTTGAAAAAATATCTTGAAAAATAACCTCATTTGCATTTTGCAATCAAAATAATTCAATTGGTGACATCACAGATAGATACATATTACAATAATAATTAATTTTATTTACTACAACTGGTTTTCAAATTTATACACTATACAACATAAGTAGTGGCACACACATGTATCTACCTACCACACATTTTATATACACTTCTCTCCCAAGAATATGACATTGATAAAAATACGCTTGTTGTATCAAAAATAAACGATTACGTTTGCATCTAAATTTGGATGTGTGATTTAATGCTAAATTAATTTTATACATTTCGGAATCAGATTATTTGATTATGATTTTGAAATAACTCGTGACGGCCATGATTTTTGTATAATATATTTACAGGATGAATTTTTCGTATTGCAACCTATATAAATTTTGCAAATGCTTTTAAAAAAACTCAAATTGTTGGAATTCTTCATTAAACAAAATGAAAGCCGTAATGCTACCAATGTAAAAAATCAAGTGCCATAATTTGACAGTTTTCTATATTTTATTTAATTTTAAGAGAAATTTTGGTGATTTGAGGAAAATCCTTGGAAAAATCATTAAACTTTTTTTTGAAATTCTGCCCCGTAGGTATTTCTACTATACACAAGAAAAATATAGTTATGTTTTTGGGACGCATGGTGTACCTAATTTCGAGTATTAATAATAGTTACTGTTATTATTTTTTTAAATCAACAATCAATCAAACATAAATATATTAGGTACTTATGTTAATGACTGTTATTAATGTGGGACAGTAAGTTTTTCTTCAAAATTATAATTGTTTTGTATAATACCTAATTGTAACATGTTATCAGGGATTAAATTTTTACAGAATTTGGTGAGTAATAATAATTTATCCCTACCTCCAGATTTCCACTCCATTTACATAAGAAGCATAATATATTACATATTTGTTTGCACTGTATAATACTGCTTATTGATTTGTGCTAGTGGTGCCCTTATTCCCGAAATTTTATATTTAATCAATTTTTTTACCCCAAGAAACATGCCCTATTTTTGCTAATTCGCCTCAAACATGCGAACGTTTTTGGTAAATATATTACATGATCTCTATCAAAAATGCAAATAAGCCCCACACAAATAACCCCACAACTTGAAGTGTCCTAGTCAAGATCCCAATCGTAAAACACACATTTCAAAATTATCTATTTGCCAATTTAAAAAAAAAGTACATATAGTTAAAGCTATTATTATAGGAATGTGGTACATCTAAAATAGTAAAGGGAACAGAGATATAGGATATGACATGTTTTTCTTTTTTTTTCTTAGGTATTCCAACAACAACTGACGGAAACCCGCACTCGTCGTCAAGTCGAGATCACCGAAATCGATGGACAATTGGCCGAACAATATGAGGCCAAGCTCCAACAGGCTCTACAAGATCTCAGAGACCAATATGAAGCTCAAATAACCAACAACAGAGCCGAGATCGAAAATATGTATGATAGCAAGATTAAGGTGAGAATTTAGACAAATTAATTTGTTGTTATTTGTTTCGAAATTGTTTGTTTCTTGACCTAAAATGATAATTTTTGATGCAACTGTCCTTCACTTTCTAATTCTGATGGTTTAACTTTACACACTTTCTATTGAGAATTTTTGATGCAACTGTCCTTCACTTTCTAATTCTGATGGTTTAACTTTACACACTTTCTATTGAGCTTTTTATTATTCAAATGGGTATTCTGTAGGTGACAGGAAAGTTTTCGAATATCAAATCAAAAATTATGCGTTTGGCAATCAAAAGCAGACTTGGATAATTCATTTCCAGTGCTTTGGCCTGATATATTGTTTTACAAATTTTGACACAAAACAGGCTCTTGTGCTACCTCAAATTAAAGTAACTTTGCATTTTGCCTTCAATTAGATTTTTGTGTTATACAAACAAATATCATTTCAGAGTCTTCAAACGGCCGCTAATAGACACTCTGCAGCCGCTGCCAATGCTTTGGACGAAGCTCGTCAAGTTCGTACCAGAATCGACACTCTATCCAGCCGAGTCACACAGTTGGAAAATGAAAACGGCGCATTAGTGGCCAGATCAAGGGATCTTGAAAAAATATTGGAGCACGAACGTTTGAGACACGCCGAAGAACTGGCAGCCTTGGAAGGCGAACTGTCCAGGATGAGAGAAGAGATGAACGTTCAACTGCAAGAGTACCAAGACCTTATGGACATTAAGGTGTCTCTAGATTTGGAAATTGCGGCCTACAGGAAACTATTGGAATCTGAAGAGGACAGATTGAAAATCACTCCAGCAGGACAAGAACGCGATGTTTCTCACTCGAGCAGTCGCAGTTTGGCACAACGTTACACTCCAAGCCGTCACAACACGAAACGGAAGCGCTTTCTGATGGAAGAAAGTCAAGATTCCAGCCTATCAGACTTCAGCGTTACCACTTCTTGCAAGGGCGACATTGAAATTCTGGAAGCCGACCCTGAGGGTAGATTTGTGAAATTAGTTAACAAGAGCAATCAAGAAGTTTCACTTGGTGGTTGGCAATTACTTCGTAAAGCTGGCACTGAGGAGACCAAGTTCAAATTCAACCGATCTTTGAAACTTGAAGGCAAAGGCACCGTAACTGTTTGGTCGGCTGATTTGAATAAAGACCATGAACCACCACATAATCTTGTAATGAAAGGCCAAAAATGGCTGGTTGGAGATAATATGACTACTGTGCTGGTGAATTTGGATGGGGAGGAAGTTGCAACATCAGAAAGGTAAGAATGTGTATAGTTATTTTATTGTAAACATTTGTATTATAATATTCAAATTCAAATTTATATTATAGTTATTTAGGAACAGCTAGGGGAGTAAATGTGAACCTGCGTATATTACTGAATTTAAGCAATGGTCAAGGAAAAAATCTCTAGATAAATTATTGCTTTCAATTGGCTACAAATAGACAAAACTAGTTCAGTGGTATTTATTAGGTTAAATGTAGATCAAAACCCAATATTATTGATAAGAACAAAGATGATAATAATTTTTACTATACATAGTTTGTTTAAAAGTTTGAAACATACCTACTGGCATCACATGTATACAGGGTGTCCCCGTTCAACTGGTCAAAAATGTTAGGGTATATAAAGGAACCATAGAGAAGTAATTTGAAATAGGACATCGATGGTCTGAAGTGCGCCGTTTTTAAAATAAAGGATGTCGAAATTTGAACAACCTCCTTTAATATCATCTGGAGAGCTAATGCTAAGCTGTTCAAATTTTCAGGGATTATTGATATAGGAATGATATTTAAAAATTCGTACAATGCACCCCCATTTTCTACCTGGAACCATCCCAAAAAAAAAAAATTGAAACAAATTGCTTTTTTTTTTCAAATTTAATTTTTTATTTTATTTTTTGGGATTGTTCCGGGTAGAAAATAGGGGAGCATTATATGAATTTTTAAATATCATTCCCACATCAATAATCCCTAGAAATTTGAACAGCGTAGTATTAGTGCGATTTCCCTAAATGTCAATATAATCTATCCATTAATACAAATCATGCGGTATGGAATAAATCTGCTTGCTATGCTTTTAAGCAAGCTAACAAAAAGTATAAAGCCGAAATTTTTGGCTCCACTCTGTAGCAACCAAACTCCAACTCCCTCTTCTACAATACCCTTTCACCTGATGCATGCACAAACGATCTATACCCGCGTTCAATACAAATTCATTCACTGTCCATCAATCAAACTCGAATTCCGATGTCTGACCTTCGCATATACTACCAAAATGCCAGGGGACTACAAACGAAAGCTAAGACTCTTTACAATTCAGTATTAACGTGTATTTTCGACGTTATCGCTATATCCGAAACATGGCTAAATGATAGCATATTTGACTCTGAACTTTTCTCGCAGGATTAGTCGGTATACCGCTGCGACAGAAGTTATAATGAGCTAAGTGTGAAAAGAATGAAAAACTCTGTAAATTAAATTTAAATGACATTATGCATGTTTTTTTAACATTTAATGAAAGATTATTTGAGTCACACCAATCCTTCACATGAACCAAGTCATTATTTATAGGATCACTCAATACACTTTCATTTTTTCCATGCCATAAGATGATAGCATCGTCAGCAAAAAGCGTAAATTGGCCTGCTATATCAATGAGTGCCAAATCATTTATATAGAGAAGAAACAACAGAGGCCCCAGCATTGAGCCCTGTGGGACGCCAGAGCTCACATTTAGCTTTTTTCACATCAGGTCCCCAAACAAAACAGTCTGCTGCCGTAGAGCTCTAGCTTCTGCAGCAAAATGTTATGGTCCACACAATCGAAAGCCTTCGACAGATCGCAAAAAACCGCAGCTGCTGAATCGTGGTTATTCAATCTAAGATAGAGTGATTCCAGCAATGAAAACATAGCATCTCCAGTGTTCAAACCACCCTGAAAACCGAATTGAGCTTTGTTCCACAATTTATTATGTTCAATGAATGTTGTCATACGTTTCTTAACTATCTTTTCAATAACTTTAGCCAATGTTGGAAGTCTCGCGATGGGACGGTAGTTTGCTGGCTCTTCAGCACCCCCTCCCGTATGAAGGGGAACAACGATTGCCAATTTCAGGAAAGGAGGAAATTTGCCTCTCTCAAATGAAAGGTTTATACTCTCAGACAACATCAATAAAGCATCATCAGGAAGACTATGAAGTATTTTGATAGAAATACCATCCCAGCCAGATGCATTGGACTTCCTTATATCTGAGAAGATTCTGCGAAGCTCGGTCACATCTGTGGGGATCATAAAAAATGTATTAGGATTATGAACATTCCTTGAAAAATGTTTAAAATCATGAGAGGGAGACAACTGATCAGAAATTCTGGAGGCAACTGAGCAGTAATAAGTGTTAGGCTTATTAGATGATAAAGATGATAAACCAGAGTTAGCCATATTGGAGTTGTATTTGCCTCTCAATTCATTGACGATTTTCCAGGCCTCCCTCTGACTATTGTCACTTTTCGAAAGCCTGCCCCTATAATACACTTGCTTCGCCAGTTTAATCACTTGTCTATATATTAATCTATATCTATTGAAAAACGAAATAAAAAACAAATTATCCATGTAATACTTTCTTAGGTGGTGTAGACAGTGCATATTATCACTAGAAATCTTAAAGCCTTTAGTTATCCAGGGCTTATTTTTCAAAGTCTTTATTGGAAAAGATTTGTTGAAACAGTTTGCAAGAACCGTATGAAAATTATGTAGCGGATTTGCAGAATGCAAAAGACCAGCCCAATTAATTGCTTGGCTACTTTGCACAAATTTTTGAAAATTTTTCTTTGTAAACAATCTTCCTTTTCTTAGCGTTTTAGAACAAATACTAACTTCAGTCTTTACTCTACAATAAATTGCTTCATGATCAGATGAACCAGCATTGATTACCTGGCATTCCACGTCACTCTGGGGCAAGTTACAACATAAATAGTCCAATAAGGTAGCTGAGTGCGAAGTTATTCTAGTAGGAGCTTCAACGAACATATTTAGACCAAAACTCTGCAAGAGGCCACTCAGCCCTCGAACATGCCTATCAGATACATCCAGGAAATTCAAATTCAAGTCCCCACACAGCAGGATTCTAGACAGCTGAGACAATAGTGTTTCAGCTTTTGACAAAAATTCATCCTTATCGCCTGATGGGGCTCTGTACAAACACAAAATATAGAAATTCCAACCTGAGCAATATACCGACGGATAACTCATCTACCTTGGGTCTAATAGAATGAATGTTCAAATATATCAAGGTAAGGTGCGCCCCTCTAAAACTCGATGAAAATTATGCGTATTACTGAAACTATGCAATAGAACTCTAGCAGAAGAATCGCTACGCACTGGACTATAAGAGTCATTAATAGATGAGTCAATACTGATTGAGAAAGAACTATGAGTAAATCAATTAGGATATTCTTAAATTAGTTGGAAATATTAATACTGCTCTTGAACTAAACTACTCAAAACGAAATAAGGACCACTTTTAAAAGCTTGGCTTTTATTTAATTTTGGATAACCCTGGTAAAGTGGATTTTTCCTTTTGCAATAAGTATATACAGCTCTGGCAAGCCAGCATCTTACAGGCCAATTTTAATGCAATAGAATGAAATGTATAGGAAAAGTCTAAGGTTAAATAGAGAACGAAACCGATTTCCCCTGTTCCACCTCCAGCATGCAGCGCTGAGAACGCTGGTGGAACAGGGGAATTCGTTTCCGTTCTCTGTTCAACCGACTTTTTCTAGACATTTCATTCTATTGCATCTAAATTGGCATGTAAGATGTTCACTTGCCAGACCGGTATAAACACATTAAGCATACACAAAAAAATTATATTGTGAATGGAAATAAACACTTTACCAGGGTTATTCAAAATTCATTAAAAATAAATGGGTTTTTAGAAGTGGTCCTTATTTCGTTTTGACTAGTATATTTTACCTGAAAATACAGGGTGTTTGGTGCATCGTTTGCCAAATTTAACTGCCCGAAAGAGGGGGCCATTTGCTAAGTCTTCAGCCATAAAAACTCATCCTTGACCCCACGGGTTTTTTTCTTAATTTGATTTTTTAAATTTTTTTTGAATCTCAAAAGTAGTTGGTCTAGCCTCCAAATTTTATTTTTATTTTTATATGTACTGTGGTATAATTCCACCAAATAGAAAATTACTTGCCATTAAGGTCTTATTTACGTTTTCATACCAAATATCGAATATTAGCCTGCTGTGTTCCGATACACAAATTTAGCAACTTAGTGAAGATGTTAAAATGTTTTTATGGCATATTACATACCACTGGAAAGGGGATAAAATAGAGAACTTTTTAAGAGAATTTGAAGATCACGATCGACTTTAGTTTTTTTTTTTTTATTGTAAGGGAAATTTCACTTCTCAATTTATTTTTACCTGTTTCAAAAATTTTATCAGTTAATCATAAAAAGACTAGACGTTAATGGCAAGTAATTTTGTATTTGGTGGAACCATACCACAGTACACATAAAAATAAAAATAAAATTTGGATGCCAGGCCAACAACTTTTTTTTAAATTTAAGTTTAAATGACGAATTTTGAGATTTAAAGAAAAAAAAAATAGAAAAACCAAATTGAAAAAACCCTAGGGGTCAAGGATGGGTTATTATGGCTGAAGAGTTAGCAAATGGCCCCTTCTTTCGGGCAGTTAAATTTGGCAAGCGATGCACCAAACACCCTGTATATCGCTGTCTTGATGATCATGTTCCTCAAACCTTAAAAAGGCGTAGAAACTATCCACCGTGGTTCTCTCCGCAAATAATAAAATTAATAAAACAAAAACATGGTGCCTGGAAAAAGTATAAACGTTTTAGGAGTCGGCACGATTTGGATTCTTTTCGAGAAATGCGGTCCTAGTTGAAAAAAGACATTGATCTTTCTTACAAAAACTACTGCTCAGATCTTGAAGTAAATATTGGCCTAAATCCAACCCATTTCTGGAAGCTCATTCAGAGCTCACAAAAAAATAATTCTCTACCAAACAACTTCACAGATCAAATGGGCTCACTTTTGTCAGACCCACAAAAAATTACTGAAGCGTTTGTGCAATTCTTTCAGAGCGCTTACACAACCCCGACCATTCAACCCTTAAAGCAGATAGATCCACAAATCACATTAACAGAGACGACTGCATAACAGAAGAGCAAGTTCTAAGGGTTTTGAAAGGCATTAAGCCCAAGGCAACTGTGGGGCCTGATAAGATTCCTCCGTTTCTTATATCTGATTGTGTCAATGTCTTTGTTGAACCCCTTACGATATTATTTAATCTTTCTTTAAAATACGAAGAATTTCCCTACTTGTGGAAACAATCCAAGATCATACCAGTTCATAAAAAGAACTACAAAAGTCTCATTGAAAACTATCGTCCGATCACAATTATTAACAACTTCTCCAAATGTATCGAGCGCGTTCTTTATACTGCCCTTTACTTTCCTATGAGAGATCTCATAGATACTCGTCAGCATGGCTTTATGCGAGGCAGTTCCACTACTTCTAACCTCATTACAATTACTGAATATATTTCTGATGCAATTAACTCAAGCTCACAGGTTGACGTTATCTATACAGATTTCTCTAAAGCCTTCGATAGACTGGACCATGGCATTCTTGTCGAAAATCTACATAATCATTATGGTTTGTTTCTCTTCGCGCCTTATTAATATGTAAACCTTACCCCACAGGTCGCTCTCAGCACGTTGAATGCTTTGGTCGTAGTTCTTCGAAAATCGTTGCCTCATCTGGTGTTCCACAAGGCTCCATTCTAGGTCCACTCTTCTTTAACTCTTTTATCAATAAAATATCCGAGAATCTTAATGTCAAAAGTCTGCTATATTGTGATGATATGAAACTGTACTGTAGAGTGGACAGCATATCTGACTGCATTCAACTTCAAGCCGATCTAACTTTAGTAAACCAATGGTGTAAAAATAACAATCTGCCACTCAATGCTGCTAAGTGCTGTATAGTTTCATATTCTCTCAAAAAAAAAATCCCATAAAATTTAATTATACCATCGATATTCTTCTCTACCCAGATCACACTCTTTTAAAGATCTAGGGGTGACCTTTGACACTTCTCTGTCATTTCTTCCTCACATTTCCGATATAATAAGAAGAAGTTACAGAATGCATAATAAGAAATTCTAAGGCTTTTAATAGCATTCATAGTCTCAAAATATTATACTTTTCATATGTTCGTCCTATTCTAGAATATGCTTCCCAAGTCTGGTCACCCCTTCATCAAATTCATATCCACGATCTAGAAAATATCCAAAGATTTCTAAAATATCTTTGGTTTCGTTGTGAGGGAGTGTACCCGGAAATCGGTTTTCCTCATGAGCGTCTGCTTGAAAACTTTTCTATGAGGATATTAGTTGAGAGAAGGCAGTCCGCTGATATACAATTTTTATTCAAATTAGTGAACGGTAAAATAGACTCTTCTGAGCTCTTAGAACAACTCAACTTTCATATACCTTGGATATCATCAAGAAATCCAAGACCGAGAATTGATATAGGAAAATTCTCTCCTCTGCGCAGAGCATACAACAGTATAGGGTTATCCAAGTTCACCTTGATAAAATAAATTTAAAAAAAAGACACTAAAGATTGAGATTGCGATAAAGTTTTTATGGCATTCTAAAGTGTGGTTATTGCCATTATGTGTGAATTATAATATCATTTGAATATTTTCCACGGGACCTCCTGCAAAAGTTAATCCTTTTGAGGTAATTTTGGCAACTTTTTGGCACATTTCAGGCATATTCCGGTCATAATTTAATGAATATTGTTTTTCAACGCGTCAATCGTTACAAGGTTGATGGCATAAACACTATCTTTCACATATCCTCACAAGAAGAAGTCCAACGGTGTTAGATCACAGAACCGTGTTGGTCAATTCACATCAGCCAATCTCAAAATTACTCGTCCTGCAAAGCTCAATTATCTTCTGTTGTGTGACTTGTGGTCCCGTCTGCGGTGGTAAAACGATCCATATACTAAAATGCCATCCATCCAACTAAACAACTACCTGTTTTGTTAACATGTGTCCTTGACCCCTATCAAATGTCACGTGTGTACTTTCTCAAGCGCAAAATAAAAAATAAAATTAGCCCTTCAGATGATATTGTCACAACTGCCCGCTCTACGGGGGTGACATGGGGGGTTTGTAGCTTTGGGGGTTGATGGAGAGAAACTCGCTCAGGTTATATAAAAATATATGCTGTATATTTTCCCAGATATAACCTTACATGTATGCTAATCCTATAAGATACATGACCCTTCGTACACTGGGGTCCTTATAGGGGGCCACACGTCAATGCTGCTTGGGGGACTGTAGGTTAGTTTATCGTCACCCTTATGCCTTGTCCAGAGGGGCGTTCCCAACGAGAGGTAATTGCACTGGACAACGATAAGGCTGAAGATACCCAGAGGGGCGTTCCCAACGAGAGGTACTTGCACTGGGGAGACTTAATTCCAGAGGGGCTTTTCCAACGAGAGGTACTTGCACTGGTTTAAGTCTACCTTTGCTGCGGCTTGCAGCGCAATTTATATTAATTTATTGCTGAATTGCAATAAATATTCGATCGAATCGGCAATTAAATTAATAAGGTTGAATACCGGGTCCTCCTTTCCCAAGCAGCTAGTTGACAATATGAAAGGGGGTTGTTTAAATTTCAACACCCTGTATTTTGAAAACGACGCCGTTCCGACCACAGGTGTCCTATCTCAAATTACTTCTCTATTGTTCCTCTACATACCCTAGCATTTTTGACCAGTTGAACGGGGATACCCTGTATAAAAAGTTAATCCGTTTGGAAGGCTTCAAAAAAAACACCTTCAATTTCTAGTTTTTAGAAATGAAATTTCAAATCCTTCACAGTTGATATCCATTTCTTTCTGTCTTAAAGTTTCCTAGGCAAAAATTGACCATTATTTTTTATCCTCAGGATCAAAACTCAAGTGTCCACTTCTCACTTGAGACACAGAGAATCGGCGGGGGGGTTTATAGAAGGTGAAGATCTCCATCAGCACGTGGGTGACCCCCAAGGCGACGAAAAGTGTCGACTGATGTGAAAATAGGGGCTTAGGAAGTAATTCCCATACTTGTTAAGGTAAGTTATAAGGTCATAGAATATAAGATTTCTTTGAATTCATAAAACAGATTATTTATAATTTTTTAAAAAGATTTTGATGAGCAAGTTAAAAGTTCACTTTCAAGTATTAAAAATGAACATTTAATTTGGAATTGCAAAGCATTTTTATTTGAGTGCATTTTTCTTTTCTGGTTGTATGGGTGAATCTGCTGACACCTAAATTTACCTCTGTATCTTAGTAGACGCAAGACGCAATATAATATTATAAACATAGTGTCCGTTTTATTTGATAAAAACTGATTTTTTGGACTTAATACATTTGGATTATGCTGAAACTATAATTGATATTAGAAGTTGGCATTTATTTGATTAAAACTTGCTTTAGCAATCACTCAATCTTGAATTTTCTTCTTTCGATTTTATAGTTTTTATACTAAAAAAGTTCAAGAGCGCATTAAAACAAAAAGAAATTCACAAAAACTCCTATGGAATTGTAAGATACATATTTACTGACATTATTATTCTCGTGTCATTCAAAAAAAATTAGTATATTTTTTTTTAAATTTAACAAATTTACCACAAATTTGATAAATTCAAAGAGAAACGCATTATCCAAAAATCACTTTTTATCAAATAAGAAAATTTTTATTTTTTGTACTCTCCTCCCATTATTGAGTCTTATGTATGAATTTTTCACCTTTTTTAGGGAAAAGTCAGGAGTTTATAATATTGAAGACTTTTATATATTTTTATTTTATATAAGTATTATTTAAGAAGATGGTTGTAGGATTTGTTTAGTTTTTACATGTTCAGAACATTATTTTATTTACCTTATTATTATTTTTTTCAAAATATTGAAACTCATTCTTGTATAATATAAATGTGTAATTTTTTCATATATTGTATTCACAAATTCAATGTAAGTTAACAAAAAAACTATTTTGTATTTTTTCGTGTTCAAATAAAGTTTACTTGTATTTTAGTGTTTTTTTGTGCCTTATATTGACATGTTATTACAAAATTATCAATTTGACAAAATTATTAACTAGTAGTGTTTAGTACATAGTACATTTTTTTCTGGAAAAATATTCACTAAAAACCTGTTAGCAAGTAGTGATAAAGCTTTCCTAAAACTCTTTAGGTGTTTTCATTATAACAACAGGAAAAATAAATATTTTCGAAGAAAAATCTGGTTTCATTTCTACCCGACACTGGGTGACCTCCTCTGGATTCCAAAAATAATTATTATCTAATGGCATGTGAACCTTCCCTCTTTAGCATATTTATTACCCAAGCTATGATGTCACACATTTTGTTGGGTCAATAGCTTGGAGCTGAGTAGGCATTCTAAAAATAGTCTTTGACATCATGAATGATATCATGTGTATGTATAAAAATTTATTTTATTTGAAATTTATAGATGGCGCCTAATATTCTGTTTACATGTCTAACTGGAAGATGCCGCCATACGTTCTACTTTTTTTTACAGTGACTCAATAAACTTTTTGAAACAGTAACGGCCAAGAATCGTAAACAAAGGCTGGAGTGTGTAGGTATTTAGGGTGATTGTTTGTCAGAGTGTTCAGACGTCATCACTCGGAGTGCACTCTGGGAGTGCTATTTCTAAACGTATTGAGGCGTTGCGATAAATGTCAGTGTCACGAATTACGTCAAACCCGGTAAAAACCGTGGGGCGTTTTTCAGCACAGTCCCCGAGTGGGGTAATTTGGGCGCACTCTGGGCACGTCAACTCTCGATTTCTGAACGATTCCAGCGTAACGCTCCGAGTTAGCACCTGTTAATTTATGAACGATTTAAGAGTTACTCTAGGGTCACTCTGACACCCAGAGTGCTATTTCTAAACGGAGCCCTGAGTTCTGGCTTTGCACTCCACGGAGCAGAACGGTATGAGCATGTATATCGTGACGTCATACGCGGTCAGAAGCCCAACGCAAAAGAGAATACTCTGAAAGCTAAAACGAACAGGTTCTTATCGTTTTGAGCGCGCTCAGAGTTTATAGAGTACAAAGCCAAACTAACAGGATTACTCAGCTTCATAAAGCGTACGCTCTCTAATTCTCTAGTCGGCAAGGCCTAAGAGTGACGTCAACACTATCAGCAGCTCATAGTGGTGACGTCACCCGCAGGCTTCGATGGGATCCTTGTGATTTAGCTGTGCTTGTGAGTTCACTTTTTCTTCGATTTTAAATGGAGAAAAGGTGATTTCAATAAGATTATAACGTTTAGGAAAACGTTTTTTTGACTTTATAGTTTCTTAAACTTGGCTAATGAGTAATGAATTTTACCTCAAGAGTTGGGGTCTGCGGCTGAAATGGCGACAATAGAGGTCGTAGAAAAATATTATTTAATTTTGATTGAGAGGCAAAGAGGAAGATGCAAACGAAGATTTAAAAGAAGAGATGTTTTAGAATATTGATTAGTGCAGTAAACCCAAGGTATGCATAAAGTAAAAGCCCGCAAAATCAATGTGTGGCGCAAGCACCCTACGTTAAAGGGGGTGTGACCCTAAAAAACGACTTAGGGCGGATATTATAAAACTACTTTGAGATTTAACTTAAAAGTTATAACTTCTAAAATTACATGTAATTCAAAAAATTAACTTCAAGTTAACTGTCAAAGCAGTTTTATAATACCCGTCCTTAGGGCGGGTATTATAAAACTGCTTTAGGGTGGGTATTATAAAACTTCTTTGAGAGTTAAGTTAACTTCTGGAATTACATGTAATTCAAAAAGTTAACTTCAAGTTAACTGTCAAAGCAGTTTTATAATACCCGCCCTTAGGGCAAAACTGCTTTGACAGTTAACTTGAAGTTAACTTTTTGAATTACATGTAATTTCAGAAGTTAACTTTAAGTTAACTCTCCAAGTAGTTTTATAATACCCGCCCTTAGACAGTTAACTTGAAGTTAACTTTTTGAATTACATGTAGTTCCAGAAGTTAACTTTAAGTTAACTCTCAAAGAAGTTTTATAATACCCGCCCTTAAGCGCTACTTAAATCAAGATTTTTTTTAAAGATTTCTCGTGAAAACCGTAGTTCTATATTCAAAATAGTCTCCGAGAAAATTCCTTGTGGAGATAAATTATGTAGGAACTTGTGATGTCACAACCGCCGAAATCGCAGACTTCTGTTCGTTCAGTCATTAATACTATCTCTGATCATCCAATGTGACTTCACAAACACCTAGTTGTAACTTTAAACCGCCCTAACTCGAAAACGGACCATCATAGCAAAATGTGGTTTAAATATTTATTTTTAATTAGATTTTTTTGCACTAAAACTTTCATTTTTGGGTCACACCCTCTACAAGGCAAAAAACGAAACGCTGCTACGTCATCACTGAAGCTTTAGCATGGCATGGGGAGCTTGAGATTTGAACTTCACAGGCCTTATGAGAATAGGCTATCCTGTAGTACTAGAGTGTATTATCCTTGGAAGTAAGTCACGCCTCCGCCTCCATATTCTTCCTCAATAAGCTCTATTCCTTTCAAGAGTTTGAAACACTAGAGCTACTCGCTCCCGTGTTAGTCACCCTGATTTGAAAGGAACAGATGCGCTGGCTTTCATGCATATGGTTTACTTCGGGTTTGAGTAATCAGGTGCAACAGACACTTTTCGAAAGGAATAAGCGCGTAATGCCCCGGAGCTGTTCCGGAGCTCCTCATAGGTGTGAAAGGAATACAACCAATATGAATATATAAGATTTTAAAGAAGCAATCAAAACTAGGACGGCATTGTCGACACTGTAAATTATTAGCTCTGTTCTAACCGACACGAGAACCATTCTAGAACGGTAATTTCCAGTCGATCAATTAATTTGTCAAGTTAGGATAAATGTTCAACTTATTGGAAAATATGTGAGCAACAAGAAATTATTGGTTCTGGAACGGTTCTCATGTCGGTTGGAGCAGAACTAGTGAGTCATACGTTTCTACTTTTAATGTTGCTAGTAGCAACAAGGTTTTTCTATTTGTGTATTGTGTTGCACTAAAAAAAGACCCGTACAGATACAGCGAACGAAGGCGAAAGAATAACGAACGAATTCGTTCGGTTAGTAAATAGTTGTATTCCTTTCAAGAGTTTGGAACACTCGAGCTACTCGCTCCGGTGTTGGTCGACCCCGATTTGAAATGAACTTTATGCGGTCTACAACAAACACTTTTCGCAAGGAATAAGTGCCTAATGCCCCGGAGCTGTTCCCGAGTTCCTCCTAGATTTGAAAGGAATACAACTAGTGTGTACGTACTAAGGAACGCTTTCGAATGCATTCGTTCGCTTTCACAACATGTGATATAAACCGAATTTTCGCGACGAATGTAGTTCATCTAAGGACGAACCATAGTTCGTCTGTGACGTCATGAGTTTGAACGCTGGCTAGAAGCTGCATCCATGCTTGCGTCGAACTACGTCAAATATGACGTCATGAGTTTCTCGCGAAAGCGTTTGTGTTCATGAAATCATGGAAGTAGTTATTCGCGAAAATTCGGTTATAGTTACTATCCTAACAAGTGCGGACAGTTATAAGCTGTATGCCTTTCAAGAGTTTGAAACACTAGAGCTACTCGCTCCAATGTTAGTCGCCCCGATTTGAAAGAAAAAGATGCGCTGGCTCTCCTGCATTTAAATGGTTTACTTCGGCTTGAGTAGACAAGAGTGACCGATTCCAGGACAAAGAGAGACGGAAGAGTTAAAATATTGTAAGGAACAAAGGTTTACAGGTCTCGCGGCGATGCACCAGCAATAAATCGAACTGCACGTATTTGAATTCTGGAAGACTGACTCGAAGAGGTATTGGGAGCAACAGCCCCAAAAAGGTAAACCGTAAGAAAGATGAGAGTGGACAACTGCAAAGTAAACGGATTTGGCGATAGGGACGTAGAGGTTTCCAGCAACAATTCTAACGCAGAAACAGCCAGACGCGAGCTTCTTATTAGGTGCTATAATATGAAATCGGCATCTAACTGAATTACCTACTGAAGGCCGAGAAACTTGGTGTTTTGCGAAGATTCAATTGTAAACTGCTAACAATCAATGTGGTCGATATTGCATCGAAAACCAATCACTTGGGTTTTAGTAAAGTTAAGCCCATTTGCATCCTTTGCATCACACCATGCCTCACTAGCTAAGCGTACCATATTATTCTGATAAAAAAACGGGACATTTTTATGAAACAGATGTTTCATGTATTTGTAAAAAAAATAGCGCCGCGGGCGAATTTTTTTTTTTTCGGGACCACGCTCGTAGGACGAACCCACGGATAATACACCTTACTACTACAAGATAGCCCCTAGTTAGCTTATCCTCATAAGGCCTGTGTAGAACAAATCTGACGCCCTCACCCTACCAATTTACCATTTGTGACGTAGACAGCATGTCGTTTCTCGCCTTGACGTAAGCTGTTTGCAGTTTGCACCACAGGTTATAGATGACGTCGGTAATGGTGATACACCAATATGGCGGCGATTACCAAATACGAGGCTGATAAACAATGTGCCTTCGGTGTATATTATCCTTGGACCGAACCATGCCAAATGTTAAGCTGTCAAATGTCAAATGCTATGTCGAATTAACCACTACGTTGCGATTTGCTGAGACTAGAGATGAGGCGCAAAAATCGATTTATTTATGCCACCACAGAGACTGGGAATGAGACGCGAAAATCGAATTATTTTACGCTTTTTGAAATATCAGAGAATACGGGACATTTAAGCATCCCGACAACAAATTTGGGGACGCGGGACATGGACCTTGAAATAAGGGACTGGCCCGTATAAAGCCTAGTACTCATAACTGCGAAATTCGCAATTTTTTGACATTTTTTCGACAATTTGACGTTTAATTCACGCATAAAACGTCAATTTGTCGAAGCAATGTCAAAAACTTGCGAATTTCGCAGTTATGAGTACTAGGGTTAATACGGGACATATGGCAGGCTTATCACTAGCACTGATGTCGATGTCCTTTGAGATGATCAGGAGGTCCGCAGTCGTTTTCCGATGCCACACAATCGTTGCATCATCCGCAAGCACAGCAAACACCCCCGTGATTCTCAGATTATGATTCAGCGGACTTTTGCTTTATTCATACTTAGTTTCACTACAATAATATATAGCCATGGCCGTTTGCACCGACCATTTTAAGGAAGCGTTAGCGATAAGTATTCC